GGCGGGGGTTTCGGGACGAAGGGGTGAGGAGGATAGGTTGGCGAGGGCGTTGGATTGGCAATTGGCACTGAAACCGGCGCTCCGATGCTGCTGCTCTTCGGCTCTTCGATGCATTCCGATATCGAGAGGGGAAGCGGCGCGCATCGTTCGGAAGCTGCCGTCCGCATGAGAAGCGTCATTCCGCCTCAGCCTCCACACCGTGTTGATGGTTGGAATTTGAAGTTGTTAGGCCGAACTGCCTCGCCGACTCCCGACCAGCAAATCAGATTTTTAACGAGCCGACGACGCTTGGACCTTGCACCATCGTGCGACCTGGCAACGACGCCTCTCGTATTCGCCTTCTCCCACTTACGATGTCCGCTGCTTCTTTCGTTCAGCGTGCCGGGAGCATGCTTCCGGCTTTGCGCTCGGTCGCCTCCACATCGCGCGCCCGAATGATCTCGACCGCAGTCCTGCGCCAGCCGCTCGCAATGCCACTTGCCAGGCCGGCTGCGTGTGCAAGTGGACTGGACATGCAGCGCAGGTACAAGTCGAAGCGCTCGTCGGCGCAGTACATTGATCCGCACGCAGCGGAGGATGACGACGTGCCCGTGATGAAGACCAAGGGCAAGGGCGGCAAGGCGAACCGAGGTGGCCAGTCGCGTTCGAAGCGCGGCGACGACGACGCGCCGTCGGATGCCGAGTACAAGACGTCGACTCGCAACCAGGATCTGCCGGATGAAGCGTTCGACTTTGGCACCATCACGCAGAACATGACGCGCGCCGTCGAGCGTTGCCGCACGACCGCCTCGACGCTCGTCGGGTCGTTTGGACGCGCCGATCCTGCGCTGCTGGATAATGTCAAGGTCGAGTATCCGGGTACGGGCTCGTCGTCTCGTTCGCTGCATCCGCTGCGCGAGTTTGCCACCGTGGGTGTGCGCGACGGTGCGCTCATCGTAACCGCCTTTGATGCGGATATGGTCAAGCACATCGAGCGCGCCATCTACGCCGCCGATTTGGGACTCACACCGCAGACGCAGGCCCACACCAACCCGGGCGACGAGAATGTGCTGCGCGTCGCTGTGCCCCAGCCCACCACCGAATCGCGCCAGGCCATGGTCAAGGACCTGACGCGCATCTGCGAACACGCGCGCGTCAGCATCCGCGACGCCCGCCACCGAGCGCTCAAACAAATCAAGTCCGACATCGACCGCAAGGTCGTCGGCAAAAACGAGGGCGACAAGGAAACCAAGAAGCTCGAGGCGGAAACCAAAAAGATCAGCGCACAGGTCGACCAGCTCTTCGAAAAGATGAAGCAGTCGCTCCTCGCCGCCAAATAAAGAGTCGCTCCGTAATCGCATCGAGTCAAGACGATGTTTGGATGACTTGGATTGCAACTGTCGAACGAACGGCGTGTACGCGCGCGATGCGCTGGACGTCTAGAGTCTTGTCTGTGGCGATCTACTGCGCCTTTCCGGCCTTCTTGGCGCCAGCCTCCTGCCAGAACTGCTCGTCGTCCTTGTCCTGCACGCCCAGCTTGATGCCCTGTTGGCCGCGCACCACCTTTTGCGCGTCGAGCTTGCCGTTTTTGGAGTCCGGAGTGGGCTTGACCGTGAAGCGCTTCTGCACCGCACGCACCATGGCGCGGAACCAGAAGAAGTTGAGGCTGTTGAGAATCACGTTGCCCACCATGTAGAACGTCTTGAGGTGCAGCGGGATGGGCGGGTGGTGCGGCTTGGCCGGTGCGACGACGAACTTGAAGAAGCTCAGGCTGTTGTACACGCCGAACGTCAGACGCGCGCCGACGTAGGTGGAGAGCAGGAAGACGGCGTTGACGAGCTGCACGGTGGAGCCGGTCTTGCCGAGCTTGTCGCAGAACCAGTGGATGTTGAGGAACGGCGTCGAGAGCTCCCAGAGCAAGAAACCCATGCCGTCGTACATGAAGATCGGGTGGTAGACGAGCGTGAAGGCAATAAGCGCCACGAGGCCGTGTGCGATGAAGCCGGGACCCTCGTGGAGGATGGACACGACCGAGTCCCATACAAAGTAGCCCTGGGCGATGGCATATACCTGCGCCGCCTCGTAGTCGTAGCCGTACAGGCGGTCGACGGCGAGCGGATGCGTGTGCATGCCGAGCGCGTTGGTCTGGCGCGCCTTCCACCAGATGCGCGCGGCGAGCGGCGTGATGAGCGCAGCGTGAACAAACGACACCACGTGGATGTCCCACGAGATGCGCGTCTTGCGGTTGAACTTTGCGAACGTCTTGGGCAGCAGCCGCGGCGAGAGCTGCGACGAGAGCGTCTGGATGGCGAACCACAGCAGCGCCGAGCGCACGAGCGTAGGGAAGTGGGCGGGGGCATGGTGCATACCGTACGCGTCCGCGTAGGGCTGCAGCCACGCGATGACAGGATCAGCGAACGCCATTTCGAGCCAGTGGCGAGGAGGAGGCGGTGCTCTGAGGATGATGGAGGCAGAAGGGCAAGGGTCAAAGCTCGCAGCGCCCCGTGCGGCAAAAGCGTCTCCGCATTCCAAAAGTCCGAACCAACCGGCCAAACGGCCTTTGGCAGCGCTGCCAACCCGGACAATCTGCCGCGCCGCTCCGTCTCCCAACAAAGAGCGCGTCGGCCACCTCTCGCCGCGTGAAATGCGCACCCGCTGAAATTGATGGTGTTAGAGCGAAAGACTCTTCAGTCGAAATGCTCGCGAAAATGCCGATGTGGAGAAAGAAGGGCGATATGCACGATTGGGCGATTTGGGCGCTTTTGGTGCGCAGGAAGAACTGTCAGCCACGCGCGTCTCTCTGACGTAGCGGCTGCACCGCGAGTTTGTGACACCTTAGAAAAGCATTTGGTGCTCCCTTTGTGCTGCTTGCTCGAACAACGCAACCGTCTCGCCTCCTTCCAGCCACCCCACCATGCATTCATGAACTCAGGACAGAGCTACAAGGAGCCCCACATCGGTCCACATGTCGCCCGACCAAATTCAGGCGGAGCTTAGCCGGCTCTTCTGCCCGCCGCTCGACACCACGCTTGTGGCTGCCATCGCTCATGAGCCCAATCAAACACTGCAGAGCGCAAAGGAGGTGTGCGAGACACTTGCTGCTGCCGCTGTACCAGACACAGCACCGGCATCTCCCACGAGAAGGGAGAGTCCTGTCACAAAACCTCGAGCCGAGAGCCCAGCGCCACGTACGGGCGTGTCGAGTCGCAGAAAGGCGTTTGGAGGAAAGCTCACCAATTCCGAACATCCGCCTTCCAACGCAGCGAGCACGTCTTCATCATCGAAATCGACATCGCCGGCAGCGTCCTCACCGCCAGATGCAGACATTCGCGACGCGCACGACCCAACCGAAGTTGCAGCCGTCGAGCGCCTGCTCAACGAGTGGACGCTCGTCGACTCGGCCTCGCAGGACCCGCTGAATCTTCACCTCACCGACGAGGAGGCCGGATCAGACGCCGAAGCTGGACGCTCAGAATCCACGCAGCCACGCGACGCATTCGATGCGCTTAGCTTTCTGCAGCACGCCTTTCCGTCGCGCACCCCCACCTTCCTGCGCGAGACGCTCGACGACTCGCACGGCGATGTGCAGACCGCCGTCGACACGCTCATGACCATCGACCTGATCGAAGCCGAGGACGCGCTTCCCACCCCCGCCTCCGCCTCTGCACCGCGTTCCGGGCGCGGGCTCGACTACGAAGCGCTCGCCGCGGGGCTTGGATCGCACCCTGACGACCCGGACGCACAGCTGCGCGGCAAGAAGCACCGCGCCGCCCGCAAGAGGCTGCAACACGAACAACGTGCGGCGCGGGCTGCGGGAAAGCTCACCGTCAACCTCACCGACCTCCGTCACGGCACCGCCTCGTCCAACACTGTTCTCAAGAAATTGGCTGCGACGCCGCCGTCACACATGTCGCGCACCGCTTCTCCTGCGCCGCAGCTGACCGACGCGCAGCTGGCCGCACAGCTCGCGGCGGAAGAAGAGGCGGCGACGCGCGATCCGGATGCCGACCGGCCGGTATCGGACAACCAGTGGCTGCTGACCTCGTCGGTGCTTGCGCAGCTCTCGACGTTGCTCGATGTGCCGTCGGCGCGCGTCACGTCGGTATACAACGCGTCGTCGTTCAACCTTGCCGTGTGCTTTGCGCGTCTGCTCGGGCTCGAAGCCGAGCAGTACCCGAGCCTGGCCTCGCTCGACGAGGCCGGTGGTGCGCCGAGCGGTACAGCACACCAGATCGCACAGGGCATTGCGGTGATCGCCGACGTCGACACGGATACAGCAGCAGAGGCGCTGCGTGCCACAAAGGGCAGGCAGGATGCGGCGATCGACCTGCTGCAGCTGCATGCGCTGGTTCAGCAACAAGTTGGATGTGCAGACCCGCTCGACCCCATGCGCCGACTTCAACAACTCGGTGGCGCCGAGGTGCCCAAGACCGCCGAAGCGCCCGCCAAGGGCTACGCCGTCGACGCCGCGGCGAACAGCGGCAAGTTTGCAGCGAGCTTTCCGACGATCTCGCAGGCGGCGGGTAGCAAGGCCCCTGCTGGCAGTGGGGTGTACTCGAGCGTGGTGGGTCGCAAGGCCGCGGGACCTACTTCGGGTGCAGCGGCAGCGTTGCGGTCGGGATCGGCGATCGCGTCGGTCCTTCCTGCGTCGTCGGCGATTGTGGTGCCTGCCGACGAGTTTGCGGACGACCCTGTGGCGGCGGAACGCGGGCTGGCGGCACACACCACGCAGTACGATCCCATGCGGCGCATGGCCGAGTACCGATTGGTGGCCGACGAGTACCGCGCACGGCGCGACGAGGCGCTGCGCAAGGCAGCCTCCGCATGGAAGCAGCGCGGTGGCGTGCGCACGGGTGGCAAGGGTGGCGACGGCGGTCGTGGCGGTATCGCTTGGCACTACGCAGACGAGGCACGCCGGCTCGATGCAAAGGCCCGCGCATGGAGCCTCAGGGCATCCCATGCTCTCGTGGCCGATCGTCGAACCGCTTCCATCGGCGTCGTCCGCCCCGGTGTAGCCTCCACCCCGCAGAACGCAGCACAGTACTCGATCGACCTGCACGGCGTCAACGTGCACGAGGCCCTCTCGATCGTGCGCGAACACGTGACAAAGTGGTACGCCAGCCCACGAACGGGTCTCAACCCGGCTCCCTTCAAGATCGTCACCGGCGTCGGCAGACACTCGCCCCACCAGATCGCCGTGCTCCGCCCCGCCATCGCAAAGATGCTCGACCGTGAAGGATGGCGCCACGACGTGGATCATCAGAGGGGTATCATTACGGTGCGCGGTGCGAAATAGCCAATAGACTCTGTACAGCAATACAAATTGTTCTCAAGAAGGATCTCGTGCTAGTCCGTGAGCGAGTCCAGCCAATCTCCGACGGCTCGATCGAGCGCATCCAACGTGCCCGAGCCGCGGTAGAAGTGGTCGGCGCCCTCGATACGTTCATGGCGAAACGTGGATGCCGACACGGCGATGGTGCTGCACTCGCGCGTCCACGTCTCGTACGTCGCAATTCCCGTAAACTGGTCCTTGTCTCCATACACCGCAAGTACATGGCTGGCCGTTGGCTGCAACTCTGCATCGTTGGACGGCGTCGACTCCTCCCGTGCCGCACCCTCTTCCTCACCCTTTCCCACCCCTTGCCCGGGCACCGTCCTGCTCGTCAGCAACGTCTTGAGCGCTTCCGTATACGTCTTTGTAGTAAAGAAGCTCAGCGCCCACGTGACGCCCGCCGGAAAGCTTAGCAGAATGTACCTCGGCTTGGGTCCGCCTCTGAACGGTTTCAAATCGTACGTCGACGGCGGCACACGCACCGTGCTTCCATACAGGCTGCCGGCCGAGTAGCCTGCGACGACAATGTGCGCCGCCGATGTATCGGGAAAGTCGAGGCAGAAGTTGTCGATGCAGCGCAGCACGAGATCCTGGAAATCGGAGCACTCGGACCTGCCCGTCCAGCTAGGCGAGCCGGACGACTTGCCCACTCCGCGCGAGTTGAAGCGCACGACGCGCAGCTGTGCGTGCGTAAGTAGCAGCGACGCCAGGTGTGTGATCACGGGGTCGTCCAACGATCCGCCGAGACGACCGAGCGGATGCGCAAGGATGGCGAGGCCGCGACACGAAGACGCATTCGGCGGATCCTGCACGACCGACTCGAGGTAGATCTGTCCGTTGTCGAGCGCCACGGGTAGCAGTGTCGGGACAGTATATCGAGGCATGTTGACGCTACTTCGTTCGGAGTGATGAGAGGGGGTTAGTGGAAGGGCAGCATTGATGGAGGTGCGGAAGAGTGCATATGCAGGTGCATGCAGAGTAGCACAGCTGGGCATTTTAGCCGCGCGGCCGTTGGGTGCGAGGAATTCCGCGTTCCGAGCTCAGCTCGGCAGCCACTGCCACCTCACTTGATCGGCCGCACACGACACTCGTGCTGGAATCGACACGGCGACGTCGAGATGCTCAGGGACGAGCATGCGACTCTACCAGTCAAAGCCACCAGGCATGCTCGTCGTGGTGGGCTCCGCATCGACTGCCGCTGCTGAAACAAGTTTCTTGGTGGCAGCAGGTTGCTCCTGAGCAGCGCTGCCCCAACGTTCGCGCCAGCACGCAAGCTCTTCCTTCCACAGCGTTTTGACGCATGGGTCGCAGCTGCTCCCGCAGCACTCATCTGGCTTGGGAGGCGGCGGCGGATCGTCGAACGGCCTCGAAGCCGCCTTGATGAGCTGCTTCTTGCGAATGTTGGTGATGCGCCGCTGGGCGACGATGGTCGGCACGCTCTCCACGTCTGCATAGGCAGGCGACGGCGACGCGTTCACCTCGTATGCCATCGAGAGCGGTTCGTGCTGCAGTGCAGGTGGTGTGCTGAGAGTTGGTCGAGGCGGGAAGGAAAGAGGCCGGGCTGGTTGGTTCATTAGAGGGGAACCGAGATTAGCCGGACGGAGCGGAACGGACGGAGGGCTTTCCAGAGCAATCTGTTTCTTAGTGCCGATCTCACAGCTCTCAATTATAGCCATCCGCATGGCCGCATGGCCGACGCGAGGCGGGTGGAGAAGAGTACGTTTCGAGGCGGAAACGTGCACAATTTGAACGCCGCACCGATGCCAAGCCAGCAGACCAACACTTGCCCTCGCAACAGGCGCTCTGGACATGCATCTCGTCACATGGACGGCAGCACAGCATTTCTGCCTTCGCGCCATCTCCATCCCAGCTTCCATCCACCAGAGCCAAGGAAGCGATGGGTAGCATGGCGCCGGCACCATCCACATCAAAACCGCAACAAACGCCCGTACATAGCTATCCGCCTAGTGCCTCGTCTTCGGCTCCTCGTCCAGACAGCCTCGGTGGCTCGTACGGTCCAGACACACTCACCTACCTCATCCACACTCAGACGGACGGCATCAGTGATTTGAGGCTCCAGGTCAGCCATGAGCCTTCGTCGAGCAAGCAGCCGCCGCGTCCTGCCTACTTTCGCGAACGCGCGCTGACCGAGAACAACGAGATCGTCGACAGCATCATCGACGCCACCACGGGGCGCACGTGCTGGAGCGTGCACAAGCCCACGCGTGGGTGGTATCTGCACCTTCGATCGCCGCTGCTTCCACCCAACACCGCCATCTCGCTCCGATCGTCGAGCGCTGGGGAACATGATCCTTCGGCATCACCACTAACATTTGCCGTGCGCACACGCATACGTCCGCAAGCACTCAACCGCGTCCGATCGCGAATCGACCGCGGCGAAGCAGACGAGAGACAAGGTAGTCATTCCGGGGATGACTTGTATGCAGCGGCAAATGACGGCATCACGGGCCTCGCGATAGAGGGTGAGGGCATGCCAGAGGTAGCGGTAGCTGCAACAGGGCGGGAGGAACGCAAGACTTCGGCGGGCGGACACGCGCGGCGACGGAGCGGCGCAACAGGCTCTGGCTCGCACGCACCAGACTCACGGTCGACCTCGAAGCGGCCCAGTTCCGCAGTAGCCAAGAGCCCCATGATCCCGGAGGTCGACGACGAGCGCTCGACCCAACCTGCTTCATCCAGAAAGCTGCCGAAACTGGCCATTCCAGACACGCGCGGCTCTCGCTCGGCCAACGGCGATCGGCCGTACTCGCCGAATCAAGGCTCACCATCGCACTTTGCTTCCGATTCGGCGGCGTCGGTGTGCCACTTTCTGCTCACCGATGCGGCGTGCAAGACGGCGGTGCAGAGCTGGACGCGCTGGGCATGCTCTATCCTGCCAGCAGAGATCCGGCCCTCGGTGGCGCTCGATGCGGACAAGAGCTTCAGCCTGTACTGGACGGACTGTCCACCCGGCGCCGCTGCGGGCAAGGGCGAGCCGATCGAGGTGGTGCGGTTCGAGGACCAGAGTGGACGCTGGATGTGGAACTCGCACACGCGGGGAAGGCTGGCGCTCCAGACAAGCGCCATGCATGCGCTAGGGCTGCAGCACGAGTTCTGGATCTCGGCCGCCTTGGCCTACATCCAATTTTTGGAGGACAAGGACGCCTACGAGGCCGCACGAGACGCATAGATTTCCTTTCACCCGCAGCCTTTGCAATTCATCATAGATCGTCGTTGCAGAATTTCGTATTCGCTACCACGTTTTAGGGGAGGAGGGTGATCAGTGGAACTTGCCGGGGACGACGGGCAAGCTGGCAGCAAGACCTCCGTCGACGGGCAGTGCGACGCCGTTGACGTACGACGCCTCGTCCGAGGCGAGGAAGGTGACTGCATGCGCGATCTCGGCAGCCACGCCGTAGCGCGCCGTGGGGTTGAGCTGACCGATCTTGCCCGCCGTGCCGCGCTCGCGAGCCATCTCAAACGTCGGCAGTGTCATGCCGGTCTCGATGAGGCCGGGGCAGACGGCGTTGCATCGGATGTTGGTGCGCTGCAGCTGCCAGGCCGTGGTCTGGGCGAGGCTGATAACGGCTGCCTTGCTTGCCGAGTAGTCGACGCTGCCGGCACCGCTGCGAATGCCCGCCACCGAGGCGGTCATGATGATGCTGCCGGACGATTCGGGCTTGGAGGGGGAGGTGACGGCCATGGCTTCCGACGCGTACTTGCATGCGAGGAAGCACGACGTGACGTTGATGTGGTGCGTGCGCTCCAGATCCTCGACATCCGTGGCGGAGATGGGCGCACCCGTCGCAATCGCCGCGTTGGCAAAGAAGATGTCCAGACGGCCATTGTCCGCGAGCGACTGGTCGATGATCGACTTGACCGATGCCTCGTCTGCTGCATCCGAGACGATGGCGGTGCACTGCACGTCCGGGTAGCGCTGCGAGATGGTCTCCTTGAGCGCAGGCAGGTTGTCGTCGTTGATGTCACACACGTAAATGTGCTTCACACCTGCGCCAAAGAAACAGAGCAAACGTTAGTCTCGCAATGCAAGCGTGATCCGATGAAATGAATGGCCTAAAACTTACCTTCATGGGCAAATTGGAGCGCCGTGGCACGGCCGATGCCCGCAAGACTGCCGCAGCCGGTGACGATGGCCACCTTGCCAGCCAGACGGCCCGAGCGCGGGCGCGAGTCGAGGTGGTTGCGGATGCGGTCGAGGCGCTGCAGCGTGACCTCGTACGCCTTCTTCTGCTGCTCGTTCTTGGTCTGCGCCATTCTGAATGTGGTCGGATGTGTGGAGCAGGAAAGGGATGGTGGAAGCTAGAAATGCGGGGACGAGTTGGGACCCTCTTTTTGTTTCCGAGGCTGGTGGGTGGCATGCCGGGCCCAACAGCTTGCATGTGCCGAGACCGGTCGGAAGACGGCGTCGCCCGTCCGGCCATCCAAAGCCGGTGCTCATTTTGGCGGAGATAGCGACTGTTAGGGAGGGGTCAGCCAACATCTAGATGCCGAAAAATTCCAATTGACAATCGAGAGCGTGTGGCCCGCGCGCGAATTCAGGGTCCTGCGTCCCGATGTGCAGGGACCCGCTGCAAAGGGTGCCGGCACGGCCGATGTCCCTACAGCAAGGCTTGATGTCGCTGACCCGATGCTGCAAGATCAAGAGAGAAAGACCTGGCTTATCTGCGAGCGGGCGATGCGCTCAACTTGAAGGCGGCTCAGCTCCAGAGGAAACGAGACGGAGCTGCGTTTCTGGCAGAGAGAAACTGGCAAGAGCGAGCCAGAGATAAACGTGCATGGCCACGCCGCCTGACGCGTTCCGAGGATCCGAGGCCTGCAACGCACGCGGGGTGCTGCTGCCGCTCCACATCCAACCGCACCCCGAACGCACGCCCCTCGACCCGCTCGACTGCGTTTATCTCGAGGCCACCCTCCGGCTTCCTTGTCTTCACACCACCATCGGCCACTTTCACCGCTGCTTGCATCCATCGCGCCATGTCCAGCTCGAATATCCACGTCGTCGAGCATCCGCTCATCTCGCACCACCTCGCCAACTTGCGTCTGGCCGACACCTCACCAAAAGGTAAGCATCGGCTTTGGCCCGGGTCGAGCGCACTGGGTAAACATGCTGACCTTGTTGCTCTCGCGCAGAATTCCGGTCGTTGGTCAAGAACATCTCGTCGGTGCTGTGTATCGAAGCGACCCGCTCGCTGCCCGTCAAGGGCGTTCAGGGCCAGGGCCCGCTGGCGACGTTTCAAGGCGAGCAGCTGGCGCCCCGCATTGGACTCGTGCCGATTCTGCGTGCAGGTCTGGGCATGACCGAAGCGTGCCTGGAGCTGTTGCCAGAAAACACGTCGGTGCTGCACATCGGCCTCTTCCGCGAAAAGGTCTCGCTCCAGCCAGTCGAGTACTACAACAAGCTGCCCGTATCGCCCACGGTAGATCAAGTCATCATCCTCGATCCACTCATTGCCACGGGTGGCACTGCTGTCGTAAGTCTCATGTCGGCGCCGTGACCGATTCTTGCTCTTACTAATGTGCTTACTGCTTGCGGCGGGATGATGCTACAGGCGTGTATTCAGATGATCCTCGACTGGGGCATTCCGGTGGACAAGATCAAGTTCCTCTGCGTGCTCGCCTCGCAAAAGGGTCTCGAGCACGTAACGGAATCCGTGCCTGGGCTCGAGATCTGGGTGGGCCACGTCGACCCCGAGCTGAGCGAAAAGGGTCTCATCCTCCCAGGCCTCGGCGACACGGGCGACCGCATGTTCGACACGCTCACCTAGCCGCATCTCTGCCTCGTTTCACGTCGAATGCGATGCTCATCATGCTTCTCTGCCAGTCTTGTTGTTGGGTCGGCGCAACGGATGCGGTGTGAACGAATCGGGTCAACACAGGCTGGGATCGGGATAGCAAGGTTAGATCGAGACAGGTGACAATTGCGAACGCGGAAAACCCGGATGATCTGCAGCAATTCTCCGGCCCCGCAAATCCTCCGCGCTCCGACGGGTGTCAATCGGAACCACGACCTGACCCCTTTCGTAAAGCAAACCTGTACGGCATCTGTTGGGTCCCGATGCAGCGAGTTGATGCCTAGGGTGCAAATTTGCCGTATGGGACCAGAAGAAACCGCTCTGGAGAGGCAGCGTGCTGTGGCTGTGGCGGGTCTCTTGCCGTGGGGGGAAAGAGGGTTCTGAAAGTAGCTTAGCGAGGGCGCGAATTTTTCATCAACCAAGACGCCGCGAGCCGCCGTCCGAGATTTAGGAGTTGGGTGGCGGGACAAAAAAAAAGTGTGCCTTTCTGGGGGGGTTTTCGGCCGTAGACGGTGTCGGTAAGCGAAGTGGGGCCTGCATGTGCTGTTCTCGTGCCTGTCTGGAAGGAGCAGCGTTGTCCAGGGTTTGGAGAAGATGAAACCAACATGGCGATTCTCCCTGCCTTCGCTTCTGCCACCACCACTAACCGCTATACCTTCGCGATGTCGTCTTTCCTTTGGCGCCGCAAAGCGCAGTCCGCCGCTGGGGACCATGGCGCGACGACGCGCGCCTCGCAGGACACCGACGATGCAACGCTCACCGAGTTCAGCCGCATGGCACAGGAGATGGGCGTCGGCGGCGCGTACGAGCGTAAGGTGGCGCTGCTCAACCGCACCATAAAGGACGACATTGGGTTCGGCAAGTTCCAGATCTGGCTCACCTGGCTTGCCGGCTTTGGCTGGTTCGTCGACAACATCTGGTTCCAGGCGCTCTCCATGTCGCTGCCGCAGATCAAGCTCGAGTTCGGTCCGGCACACGTGCAGTTTGCCACGCTCGCACTTTACCTCGGCTTGCTCATCGGCGCCACCTTCTGGGGCTTCATGGCGGACGTCATCGGCAGACGCCCTAGCTGGAACATCACACTCTTCATCTCGGCCGTGTTTGGTATCGCCGTTGGTGGCGCACCTAACTTCGTCGGGCTCGGCGCATTGCTCTCGTGTCTAGGACTGGGGCTGGGTGGCAACCTGCCCGTGGATGGCGCGATGCTCATCGAATTTATCCCCTCAACGCATCAGTGGATCCTGACGTTCCTGTCCATCTTCTGGTGTTTCGGTCAGCTGTTCGCTGCGTTCATCGGCTGGGCTTTTATTACCAACTACCGCTGCGAGACCGCGGATGCATGCCCGCGCGCCAGCAATATGGGCTGGAGGTATACCTGGTTCCTGCTGGGTGCGGTGACGTTCATCATGTGGGTCGCGCGGTTCTGGGTGTACCCAATACCCGAATCGCCCAAGTTCTTGATCGGAAAGGGCCGCGACGAGGAGGCGCTCGAGGTGATCCGATTCATCGCCGCGCAGAATGGCAAGACCACCTCGCTCACGCTCGAGCAGCTGCGCGCTGCGGGAGAAGGCACCACTATCGCGGTCAGCGCTGACGCAGCAGAGCAGAAATTCGCTGCGGACGAAGACGTCGAGGCCAAAGCCGATTCTGCCGCTGAAGCCCAGGACGAGAAGAAGGCGAACGAGGCGGGAACGCATGTCCGAGCTGCACCGACGCCGGGCGTGCAGGTTGAGACGACGGATGATGTGGCAGCGACAACGACGGCTGTACCGCATTCGCTCAAGGGACGTTTCTTGTCGGCTGCGGATCTGGCGCAGCTTCGCCGTTCGCTGTCCGAGTTCGACTCGCACCACCTTGTGGCGCTCTTTTCGACGCCGCGCATGGCGTGGAATACGACGCTGATCTGCTTCCTGTGGGGTCTCATCGGCCTCGCCTATCCGCTCTACAACGCCTTTATTGCGCTGTACCTTCAGAACGCCGGTGCAAACCAGGGCGAGACGACGCAGGCGGAACAGTACCGCGATCTGGTCATCATTGCGGCGTGTGGTATCCCCGGCTCATTTGCTGCCGCGGCCATGGTCGAGCTTCCGTACGCCGGGCGTCGCGGCACCATGGCGCTCTTCACGGTGCTCACCGGGTTGTTCCTCTTCCTCTTTACCACCGCCAGGACGCCGGCAGCAGTGTTGGGCTGGAACTGCGCGACGAGTTTGACGCAGAACGCCATGTACGCAGTGCTGTACGCTATCAGCTACGAGGTCTTCCCGGCACCCAACAGGGGCACGGGCGATGGACTCGCCATGGCTACACAGCGCGTGTTCGGCGTGATCGCCCCCGTCGTAGGCGCCTACGCCGGCTCCACGCCCACTACACCCATCTACGTCTCGGCGAGCTTTTTCATGGCCGCCGCTGTGCTCATGCTCATGCTGCCGTACGAAACGCGCGGTCGTTCCGCCCTCTAAATGAGGCACCGTAAGATTGTTGTACTACTTCCAGGTCATGCTCAAAATGGACTACAGTTCCAATCCGATCAAATTGCAATGGATAGATACGATACCGTCTTAGAAGAGATTTAGGCCTTGAGGGCGGCAAGGATCTCCTTTCCGACGCCGAGGGCAGATGCGGGGTTCTGTCCCGAAATGAGGATGCCGCCAGACTTGTCGACAATGACCTTTTCGCCCCAAGGCTGGACCTTGTCGAACTTTGCGCCGCGCTCAATGAGTCGCGACTCGACGAGCCAGGGGATGGCCTTGGTGAGGCCTGCCTGTTCCTCCTCTTCGTTGGTGAAACAGGTGACGTTCTTGCCGTTGACGAGGTACGAGCCGTCGGAGAGCTTGACGTCGGTGAAGACGGCGGGAGCGTGGCAGACGGCGGCGGTGGGCTTGCCAGCCTCGTAGAACGCGCGGATGAGCTCCTGCGAGGTAGCGTCGACGGGCAGGTCGAAGCAAGGACCGTGGCCACCCGGGTAGAAGATGGCAGCAAAGTCCTTGACCGAGTCGGCAGAGAACTCGGAGAGCGGACGGGTGTTGGACACCCACTGCTGGGCAGCAGAGTCGTTGAGGAACTTGACCGAGTCATCATCGTTCTTGAACGCCTCTACGGAGCTCTTGTCCAGCGGAGCCTCACCGCCCTTGGGCGAGGCAGCGACAAGCTCGTAGCCGGCATCCTTGAGCAGGTAGTACGGGTGGGCGATCTCGGGGAGGTAGTAGCCGGTGGGGTGGTCCGAGCCGATTAGCTGGGTGTGCGAGGTGAATACGACGAGGATCTTCTTCGACATGGCTGGCAACTTCTTTTGGTGTGATCTTGGGATGGAGAAGAGGAAGGAAGCGGGGACGGCGGGTATTTATTCGTGCCTCTGGCTGAGAGGGTGAGAAGCAGGTCGAAGCAACCGGGCATCGGAACGGGGACAGCCATGTGGAGCGGCGCACGGACAGAACTGCTGTAGCAACGTCGATCTGCATGAACCGCAGTTTTTTTACCTTTACATCGCAGCGCAATTACGCCTCCACATGCAATTGCGCTGTGCAGATGCGTCTCTTCGGCCTGTGACGTCCCGTCCACGGCACACTTGCCGCGGTGTGTCACCACCATGGCTGGCAATGCAAAAGTGAGGACATCCGAGTCGGCTCCTCGTCAGCCGCAGCAGGCAGCACCGATTTGGCGCCGATGGCGCACCACCGGCGGCGGTACGAGCTGCTGCTCATCTTTGGTACGCCACTCCTCGTATTCGCACGGGCGCCTGCCGAACGATCATCTATACATTGCAAAGCGAGCATCTATGGGGCTATCGTCCAGCCGACTTGACTATTAGTACGGGTGGCCGCTTCACTTTGGCTGGTACTTGGCCGCGGCGGTGTTGAACTGCACGCGGAAGGCGTCGTCCCACTTTTGGACGAGCGGGATGCCGGACCCAGCGCTGATGACGTCCTGGTCGGCCTCGAGCCCGCGCACGAGATCCTCCATGAACTCTTCGACGGTAAGCGAGCTGGTTGCGCCGAGGTGCTTCTTGTTGTCGTCGGGGTTCTCGCGTTCCCTGTGCAGATCGGTGCCTACGCTCGGCGGCACGATCTCGACGATCCTGACGCTGGTGTTCTTGAGCTGCACGCGCTGCGTCTCGGACCAGAAGTGGACGAACGACTTTGTGCCGTTGTAGATAGGGTTGATGATGGAGTACGGCACGAATCCGAGCACGGAGCTGACGTTGGCGATCACGCCGAGCGGCTTCGACTTGAGATGGTCGAGGAACGCTGTTGCAAGGTGAACCGGCCCACGGATGTTGATGTTGATCTCGTTGTCCACCTTGTCCAGCTCGAGGTTCTGCACATCGAGAGGGCGCTGCACTCCAGCATTGTTGATGAGGCAGTCCACCTCGGGGTGCTCAGCCAACACCTTTTTGGCAAAGGCGGGAATGTCCTCGACGTTGCCCGTGTCGAGCACATAGTAAGGAGTGTCGGAAAGCTTCTTAGACGCCTCGGCGAGCTTAGACTCGGTGCGGCCTACGAGGATGACCTTCTTGTTGAGCGAGAGAAAGTACTCGGCCATCGCGAAGCCGAGACCGCCGGCACCGCCGGTGATGACGGCGCACTGGAAGTCGAGCACCTTGCCGACCATGATTGCAGATATCTTTGTTGATTTGCGGGTGACTCGATAGTGTCCACTTGGTTTGACAGCAGACCGAGTGTAGCAGGTGGTCGGTTGCTAGCGAAGAAACCAGGCTCGGTCATCGACCCAAGCATGACGCTCACCGCCATCACTGCTGACACGGATCGCGTCCGCAACCTCCACTCCTATTTTTTCGACAGTGTAAGACCGTGTCTGTGTGACATCCGACAGAATTGAAATTCCAGAGCGGCAGTGAGGACCGCATCAGTCACGACGGATGTGGAAGAGGGCCTTCCGGCATCGGCTGCAGCACCGCCGCTGTCTCTGCTCATCGCCAGCGAGCCTTCGCTTAGCAGCTGGCACGCCAGTGTGACCGTATCGCAGTCGCATGCCGTCGAGTGCTGCTGGTTTGAGGGAGGTGGGTCTATACCCTCTCACTTGCCCGTGCGCAACCACGACAGCAGCAGAGAAGGTGCGGTAGAAGGCCCAGGCACCGAATTGTTGGTTCGATTTCGAAATGCGACAGGGCGATTGGTGCCCACGTTCGCTGGCTTTGACAGAAGAATGAACTCGCGCATTGCATCTGCGCCATGCAGATGCAGAGGGTCGCCCGCTGCTCTTGTGCCCCACCGCGACAACCGGAAGGGTCCTCGAAACTTCCAAACTTCCGACGCTTCTTCACTCCGCCGCACATCCCGCAATTTTTTTTCTCACTGATGCAGCCATCCAACGCTCTTATCGACAAGGCATGAGATTCCCGCTGTGGGCAGGAGGGGCCTTTGATGACGGCCGCATGCTTGTTCATCCCACCCGTACAGTGTCTGCCCGTGTCTTCGAGTCTTAAGGCGATGCTGAAGCGTTGGTGACAGTTCCAGGCGTCTGCTGTCGGGGCCAAGGAGGACTTGGCTTGAGCTCACCAACGTCTGAAGATTGCGGAAGCAGCAGCGACAGACCAAGATCGACCGCAAGACCGCATCGCATCGATCGTGCATCCGCAGGCACAGCGAAGAGCGGCACCAACGTTCTGTAACCGCAAGGGTCGACGTTTTCCCTCCAGGTTGGTTTAACCTCCTTCTCCTCCTCCTCTATCTCTCGCGCACGCCATCCCATCCCTCGACGCCCGCTGGGTACCCTCTCCCCTTCCCTTCTTCCTTGGAATCGCCCTTCCTTCGCTCCTTCGCTCACTTTCGCATCTCGTGTTTCACATCGCTTGCTCCTCCTTGGTTCTCGGCTTCGTTCGGCTCGGCGCCTTTGCATCAGCTTCGCATCGTCCCTCGTTCCTGTCTTTGCCTATCGCCTCGAACTACTCCGCCGCCGCTGCTGCCGCCTTCGCCGACTTTACCGCCTGCGGTCCGACCACGCATCACCGTGCCGACGGCCTTGTTGCATCTGCAGGATTCGGCGCACACCTCACCGGTCGTTCCCCCTCGCGCCTTCTTTCGTACCTCAGCAACGCTGTCTCACACGGCACACTTGCATCCACTGTTCCTGATAAAGTTTTTGCTCAATCTGCTCAATCTGGTCCGCCACTTTGCGCAATCCTCGGCCGCCGATCCTTGCCTGCTGAACATATAACAGCACCCATTCGTCTTCAATCGCAGACGGCTCTCCCCCAACCCAACCGATCCATCTCTCCTTCATCCTCCTTCCACATCCCGGCTCTTCAAAATGGCTGACGAACAACCAAAGTGCAGCGGACCCGGCGATAACTTCACCGGCTCGATCGGTCTCCGTGTGGGCGCCATCTTTATCCTTTGGGTCTCGTCCACCGTGGTGACGCTCTTCCCCATCCTTACCCGCCGCGTCCCCCGCCTCCATATCCACCGCGAAGTCTTTGACTTTGCAAAGTACTTTGGCTCCGGCGTCATCATCGCCACCGCCTTCATTCATCTATTGGCACCGGGTGTCGAGGAACTCAGCTCGCCATGTCTCAACGACCACTTTCAGAACTACCCCTTCGCCTTCGCATTTGCCATGATCGCGCTCTTCGCCGTCTTTGTCGTCGAGCTCTTTGCTTACCGTCTTGGATCCAAGTGGGCCAACAAGCTCGCCTACAACCCGCACATGGGTGGGCACCACCATGCGCTCGAACACCACGGCGGCCTTGACCACGACCACGCCCACGAACACCACGATCACAACCACGGCCAATTCGCTCCTGCAGCTAAAAACGCCCCTTCTGAAGACCTCGAGGGCTCTGCCGCCGAGGTCTCTCGCTCGTCCCCGGCTGCCGAGGCCAAGAGTATCGACGATGCCAGTTCCGCCGTCGCTCTCTCGTCGCAGGCATCCGAGATTGTCGGCGTGCTCATCCTCGAGTTCGGCGTCATCTTCCACTCGGTCATCATCGGCGTCACGCTCGGCACCACTACCGATTTCACGGTCCTGTTCATCGTCATCATCTTCCACCAGATGTTCGAGGGTCTCGGTCTCGGCTCCCGTCTGGCATTCCTGCCGCTCAAGATGACCTCATGGATTCCCGTAATCGGCGGTCTCGCTTACGGCCTCGTCACCCCCATCGGCCTCGCCATCGGCCTCGGCATCCGCAACACCTACAACGGCGACTCGGCCACCGCCAACTACGTGACCGGTATCTTTGACTCGGTCTCGGCCGGTATCCTGCTGTACACCGGAACGGTCGAACTGCTCGCCCACGAGTTCATCTTCAACGAGAGGATCCGCACCGCGTCGCTCACCAAGCTTTCGGTCAGCATCATCGAGATGATGGCCGGTGCAGGTCTCATGGCTCTGCTTGGCCGATGGGCGTGAGGGAGCTTGATTCGTTCTATAGACTTTGTGACTCCCCCCAAAAAGGCACGTACGGGCCCGTCTCGACCTGTCATCGGAACCCGCATCGGAAGCCGCCCGATTCATGTATTCAGTACTTTGGCACTTTGCTATCGCATCCGCATACCCAGCACACTCAAAGCGTTGTGGAAGTGTCGTGTGCCGTCGTCGTATCGGCCTGAATGGCATCAGATGTGCAGTGAGGATTCTGAGTCGGACGAAGAGGTGGACGCGGCCTCGCTCGGTGCGGGGTCGGCGCTGCGGAAACACTCAAAGCTCCGGACAGACGAGCAGACGCCGGAACTATGTCGACACGCATCGCCCTGTGCGCTCAATCTCGCGCTCCCGCTTCCGCACTTCCAGCAAGCAGTGCGGTATAAAGCTTCCAGTGCTCCCGCAATCCTCAACCTTCCGCACGCCCAACCGTCCGTCTCCTTGACTTCCTACCCAGTCATCGCTTCCGCTTCTTCAAGCTTCCTCACTTCATCTCACCACACCTCTCGCTATCCGTCTTGAGCATCATCGTCCTCAGCATCGTCAACGCAGGTAAGTCGCGGTCCTCTCCAGTACTAAGCGACTCACCACGTCTACTGACCTCGTCGTCGTCGTCATCCTTCGCAACTAGCCTACATCATCCTTGTCTTCATCCACCGACCTCTTCGATTCAAAGAGTCAGCAACATGGCGTTCTTCACTGGTGGTAGCCGCTTCCACACTGTCAAGCGATCGGGCTCACCGGCCTCTGACGACGACGGCAAGTCGAAGCTGCTTCCCATGCTCGACGAGATCGACGAGCTCGACGAGAGCAACACGGGCGACGAGGGCAACACGGTCGACGAGAGCAACACTGTCGTTGAAGACATCAAGCCCGTGAAGCCCGAGGTTGGGCCCTCTTCTCCCGCAGCTGGCGAGAGGAAGACGCCGCGCTACACTACCGAAGGCGAGCAGCAGGCCATCATGGCAATGGCCACGGCAGGCAAGAAGCCCGGCGAGATCGCCAAGATCTTTGGACTTCGCTCCAACACGGTCTCCAAGCTCATCACCCGCAAGCAGAAGCAGGCCCTCGGCGCGATGAACCTCGAGCAGTACACCAAGACCTCCCCTACCCGCAAGAGCAAGAGCCCCCGCGCCAAGAAGCACTGATCCTGGACGTTCATTGTAGATCAGTGTAGCGATGCTGTAGCCGTGGCTTAGTTGTTTCGTCATTGCGCTCACGTTCGAACCAGATCGTGAATATCAATCCTGCTGTGTTACTCCGAATGAGAAGCGTGCGTGCGTGATGAGCGACTGAGCGATCGAGCGGACAACTTTAGTGCGATGGACTGGGGTGGAAGTCTGTGTGCCTCTGACGATGTAAGGACGACGCGGTGATGCGGGAGTGAGCAAGTGCGGGACAGTGAGCGGAAGCGCACTCGGTGCTCGTTGACCCGCAGCGAGCAGACCTGCACTTCCGCACCCGCAACAGACAGTGCGGAAAGAAAGCTTTCGAAGATACTTAGGTCCTCTCCGACCTCCGCAAGCCCTTCCTTCCTTCCTCCATCCCCTTTCCCCTTACTCTCCCCTCCCAGCTCCGCCTTGTTACTCAGCAAATTGCATATCCGTCGGTCGACCCCACACCACTGACGACACACCTTTGCACGCTTAGCCCTTCGTATTCGCCTTACTCACCGCTCGTCGTCATGTCGACCTACAGTGCTGCTAGCAGCTACACCACGGGCAGCACGGGAGCCCCCTCCGAGTCCGCCTCCACCGCAAGCTCGGCATGGTCCGAGTACGAGTACCCCTCGTCGGAGACTTCCGAGACGGAGACGGAGATCATCGAGCTCGACTCGGCCTCGGACACGGACACGACCATTACGATTGACGACAGCGAGTCGTGCTACTCGCGTGCGCACAGCGTCGACTCCTCGGTGATGCTGCTCGCCACCGTCCGTGGCACCACCCCGGCCGTGTCCATCGACGGCGACGACAAGGAGCACAAGGTCAAGGCGGAGGCTAAGCCCAAGGTGCGACGTGCTGGAGCGCTGCGAAAGCTGAGCGAGTCCGAGCAGACGCAGATTGTGATGCTGCGCGAGAAGGGCTGGACGCTCCGTGCGATCGCCGAGGTGCTCGACTGCTCGGTCAACACCGTGAACAGCTTCTGCTTCCGTCGCAGGCAGAAGATGAACAAGCTCATCGCCACTCTCCCCGGCGCCGGCGGCGCCAGCAACGCTCAGGGTGCTATGTCGGGCACTACCCGTGGCCGTCGTGCTGGTGTCAAGAACGAGCGCGACGTTGGTATCGGCGGTTACCGCTTCATCAAGAAGGACGAGTCCTAAACATCATCGCCGTCGATGGTGCGCTTCATGGTTACTACACATGTCGATGCCACCTTTTGCGATCCGCACAAGGTCCTGCCCTCGTCCGAACGCGCAGACAGCGTACTCCCTTCTCCCTCTCCGCATCTCCGCTGATGGTCAGCATCGCCGACCGTCGCCTCACAATCAACACACGCGACCACCTTCCCACGACTCGATGATCGGCCTTTCATTTCATCATGATGGTGGCTACACTCGACGCGCGTTTACACCGCCCACGCGGTCCTAGCTCGATCCTTCCTCCATAGCACATGTGCGCCCCTCCTTGGGCCGAGCAAGTAGCCTCGATCGAGTTCGATGTGCATAGGTGTTGCTTCTCCCTTCCCCGTATCTCCAAAGACGCGCTGCAACCTCTTGACTGCACTTGGCCACGCAAAGACGGTAATCTCCTTCAGACCCCTGCCCATCCTGTGGTCCCCTGCGGGCCAGGTGCGCAGCAGCTGTAGAGCCTCGATAAAGTCTTGCATGTCGGCTTCGAGTTGAAATACGTCTTGATCGTCATTGCTAGCTGCGTGTTCGTGAAGCCTCTGTGTCTGTGCATCGCCCTCGAGAGTGGGAAGCTGAGTTGGAGACCAGGTGTCTCTGCCGTTTTGAAATGCCGGCCCGCGTCTGCGCGTGACGAGTCGAAGTTCAAGCTTCTCCAACAGCGGCAGTGTTACTCTGAGCTCGCGCGCAGTTGCCGCGTCCATACCGAATACGAGCAACTCGAGCTCTCGCAGGTCCTCGAACGTGGGTAAGCTCAGGTACGGAATCGTAGTGAGCTCTGTGCAGAGTCGTGTCGGCTGCGGACCCTTCTCGAGCCTCGATACGGTGCCGGTGTGGAGAGCGCCCATGCTGAACAGGTCGAGGCTGATCTCCTGCAGATGCGGGATTGCGAGCAGCATCTGCTCAATACCTACCGCCAGCGGTCCATGGTCGGCAAGCGCCGAGGGACAGTAGCCCGATGCATCGAACTCGGAGCTTCCGATCTGCAGTCGTCGCACATGCTTGCCGAGCGCCGGATTGTGCAGAGCTAGCGTGACGCGAAACGATCGAAATGCCGCAGGGGTGTGCAGCGACACGCTGTGGTACAGCTTTGGGATGATGAGCTGGTAGTACCTGCGTGAAAGAACCAGCACACTGGTCGGACACGATCGCGGCTCGTGCGGGGATAGACTCGGACATGCCGCCAGCACGAGGATGTGCGATACCAGCTCCTCAGGCAGCTGCGGGAACGCCGCTTCGCCGGTTGAGCCCTTCATAGCTTCAGCGTCCGAGGTGTGGAGCGTGGCGTTGCGAGAGGTGTTGGCGTTTTCCGGCCGGCTCGCGTGCGTTGCAAAGTGAAGAGTGAGCGATTCGGGGGCGACCTTGCCGATGGCCCAGCGAGCGATGCTCCTGAGTCGTTGACCGACGCGCGTATCGAGCGCTTCGTATGCGAGCACGTGGACGAGGCTCTCGATCTCAGGGTACACTGGCACCTCGATGCGTCGTTGGGGGTCCGTGACGGCGATCCAGTCCCTCCTCTGCGCTGCGGTGAGCAAACTTGCTGTGTGTCGATTACCGGCTGCGGCCCTGGTTGTAGCTGCCGAGCTCTCCGAGTGGATATGCCTGTGCACGTACGGTCTAAACACCCCCGGTGTCTGAACGCTGTCTGGGAGGTTGGTGCCGCCGATACCGCCGCCGTTCCACTGCGTGGTCGGTACGATGGGCGCGCCCGATGGCCACGTTGTCGATCCAAGCAGCAGTAGGCTGGTTTGTGGCGATGCCGAGCGCGATGCCAGCCGGGCCTGGAGTCGCGCGCCGAAGCAGTCGCAGATGCGTTCGAGACCGTTGCGGAAGCCAAGGTAGACGAGACGCGAGATGACAAAGGCGGCAACGGCGTCAAGCAGCAGGTACGAAGCCGAGAATGCGGCCATGAGCGCCCACATGCGAGGAGTCAGCACGGTGCGAGCCGAAAGCGACGTCTTGAGTGCGGCGATAACAAAGGCGATCGAGAACGAGCTTCGAGCGATGGTTGTGCGAGTGGAGAATGGTTGGTCGCGCCGGCTGTTGTCCATGCCAGCAGTAGAAGAAGTCCAGATTGCAATCAAGCCAGTGGCTCTATACGGCTTCACATGTCAGCCGTACCGTGGTCGTGAGAGAGTTCCGCCCGACTGATGAGTGGATGAGGACGGGAGATGAAGTGGGATCCTGGTGGGGACTGGCCTGTTGCGTTTGGTGGGGTGTATGCGTTCCCGCTGCTGCACTCGAGGCTTTACCCTGCATGCAGCACTGATGCATTGACCGCTCTCTCGGCTGCCCGATAGTGCGGCGGCCTCTCGCTTGCTCCGCCACCTCCGCCTCCTCCGCCCCAACTCGCCGCAGAGTCGAGTTACCGCTGAGCCGGTTCGTTCCTTGCTCCAACAAAGTCCGCGACGCCCCACACTTTGCGTATTGCCAGCTACATATGGCGGGAACCGCGGTGGTCACTTTTTTACCGCATGTGAGATCGAAGCTGGCTTCGAGTGTTGCTCTCCAAAAATCGCTCGCGCGGCAACACATTTTCGGGATGACCGATCCGAAGTGGACAGGTCAAATCCACGGCCAGCGGACCCTTTGGCATGCAGCAGCGAATCGGCACAACCGGCAAGCCAACGAACTGAGCCTTCTTCGCAGCCTTCTGCGATCCACCATCCCTGCTTTGGCATCCTTCGACCCTGGACTGCGGAAAGTGGCAGCGAGTCCGCGAATGGCAAGGCTTTCGAAAACCTGGCCGCTCCCACCGGCGCCCTCGCCCGCCAACATGAAGATGCTCGTCGCGAGCGTCTTGCTGGCCTGCATTCCCGCAGCGCGCGCCCACGGACATCACGCTCATGGTCCCGCAGACAACTCGGTCCCCATCGACAGCATCCTCTGGATCCACATCGGCATACAGACGCTCGCATGGTTCTTCCTCTTTCCGCTCGCCATGGTGCTCGGCCTCGTGCGCCACCGCCTGCACGTGCCCCTCGCAACCGCATCCCTCGCGCTCACCGTCGGCGGCTACTTCCTCGGACACGGCCACGGCGGTCGTCAGTTCCCGCACACAGCACACGGCACCATGGCCTCTCTGCTCGTCTTTTATCTCGCAGCCCAGACCTTCCTCGGCGTCTACCTCAAGCTCCATCTCCAATGGCGTCCTGAAAAGTGGATCCGCCCTACGCTCGTCACCGTCCACGGCCTGCTCGGCAAGAGCTTCCCCATCGTCGGCTGGGTCCAGATGGTGTTTGGCGTGTCCACCCTCCAGTCGTGGTGCTTTGGTGGCCACCTCGGCCAGTGTCTGGCGCACTACATCATGGGCTCGGCTTTTCAGGCTTACGCCGCCATCCTCATCATCATGATGAAGGCCGGCGGCGACTGGCTCCAGCGTCGCGGCCAGAGCCAGGAGTGGTTCGACTCGTGGGTTATCATGCTCTGGGGTATCGTCAACACTTTCACCGAGCACCACGGTGGGCCATGGACGCACAAGGACCTGCAGCACACGCTCATGGGCGTGCTCTGGTGGGCAGGAGGCGCCCTCGGCATCTGGCTCAGCCGCGGAGGCCGACGTAACATCTTCCCCTCCATCATCATCTTCCTCACCGGCTGGGCCATGAGTGCCCACTCGCAAGCGCTCATGATCTCCACCATGGTGCATTCGCTCTTTGGCTACGCGCTCATGGGCGCCGGCATCGCCCGCATGATCGAGGTCTGCTTCGTCCTCCAAGGTCGCCCCACCGGCACCACGCGCGAGTCGCCCGAGGTGCCCCTCGCCAGCCAGGTGGCGGTCAATGGAAGCTGGTATCCGATCAAGCCATTCCAGTATCTGCCGCCCTATCTGCTCGTCGCGTCGGGCGTGCTCTTCATGTCGGCCACCGACGAGGAGCTGCGCTGGGCCGATGCACGCGGCGTCGACCACGCCACTTGGGGCCTCATCGACTTTAGCGCGTCCATGCTCGTCTTCCTCTGGATCAACGTGCTCGTCGATCTGTACGTCGCATACGGCGGGCGCTACGGTGCTGCGCGCCAGAATGCTGCACAGGCGAGGGCGGCAGATCGCGAAGCACAGCCCAGTCGCTCGCTGTATTCCCGCCTCAGTCTCGGCGCCAATGCTACCGACGCTGCCGACGCGGCTGCTCCCCGCTCTCGAGCACCCGCAGCTGCAGCGCCAGCCGTGGAGCACCACGAGCTCAACGGGCTCACATCGAAAGCTCGCGGCAACTACGACGATGACACGGCCGAGCCCAACCACGTGCTCTTCGACGAAGAGGACGAGGATCCGTTTGAAGAAAAGGACCGCGACGATCAAGAGAGTAGCGGCAGCAGCGCAGGCCGCGGCCGGATCCAGCTCTGACACACTATCAGCTCAGCATTTGTACAGTACGCCCCGTCCGGCTCTCGCACGCATTGCCATTGCTACTACACTTTGACATCATGGCGCCCGATTCGTGGATGGCCTGGCTGAAATCTTCATCGGGCGAGGGTTCGAGCCCACTGCTGCAACACCTTGCCCAGGACGTATCCGAGCGGCCACGCACTGCGATTGAGGCCCTGGTGGACCGCCACGTGGATCAGACGGTCCAGCGACATGGCGTGGGTCAGAGCGCCGACTCCGGACAGGAAATAGACGTCCTTCCGGCGCGTCTTCCTGGACACGCTCGAGCCTCTGGTCAGACCAGCCGGGCTGCTGGCCTCTGCTGAGACGTCTGCGTTGCCGCTCTGATCGCGGCTCGGCTCGGACCTTTGGTTCTGCTGCAGCCACTGGCAGAGCAGCGCCAAACACACGGTCGCGTAGAACAGGATCGAGTTCTCGGCGCCCGTACCGGAAAACGTTGCATGTCCCGTGCCCGACGAGTCAAACGAGCTCGGCCCGGCCCGTTCGAAAGCGCCATTTCCGCTGCTCCGACTAGCACTTCTGCCTCTGGTGCTGACGTTGACAGCTGCGTGCGACGACGACGACGACGACGCCAGGTTGAGCGGCGCAATGTCGCGGCGCGACGAGATGCTCAGCGTAAAGATTTTGCTTGCCTCGCTGAAAAGGTCGGTGCGGAACGATTCGTCTTGCAGCGGGCCCTTGAGCCAACGCTTCATCTGCACCTTGGCGCGACGGTGGCCCTTACGACCCGACATGATCTGCACCATCTTGAAGCTCACCAGCATGCGCAGACGCGCTCCGTGCAGCATCAGCTGTGCTTCGCCTTTGCTGCTGGTATCAAGTCGACTCGACGTGAGATGGTTGAGCTTGGCAGTGATTGATTCCACCCACGATTGCAGTGCCGGATCCCGATGTGGCAGAACGGCTTTGCCACTGTCGGCGTCGTCGTCTTCACCATCGTCGTCGTCCTGCGGATTGGCATATTGCGACAGCACCGTGTCGAGGTTCCACCGACTCAGTACGAGGTTGTGCACGGCAGCGCTTAGCACCAGCCGCGTCATGGGCGACGAGTGACGCAGATCCATCGACGACTCTTTCGCAGCGGATGCTTGTGTGGCCAGTCGATCTCCAGTTTGGCGAGTGCCGCCGACGCCGAGTCGGGATGTGCACAGCAGATCGGAAAGTCGGCTTTTGTGCGCAGATGCAGCCTGCTCCATCGACATGCCCATCCACTCTTCTGCCGACTCGGCCTGCCACAGCGACTCGACACACGGCAATGGAGACCCGAGCTCAGCAATGGTCACCGTGCACGGAAGATCCCACGCCAGGCTGAGATCGCTGTCGAGCGCAAGCAGCGCCCAGCTCATCCGGACCATTTCCTGATTGCGGATCCAACGCTGCCACTCCTGCTCGCGTTTGCGCGCCAGTATCTCGGCATCATTCGCTTGCTCCTGGCTCGAACCCATCGCCTTGGGGTCCAGTACAAACGGCACCAGCTCGAACAGTCGACATCGACGCGCCATGGTCAAGACGATGTTCCGGAAGCCTTCGACATACTCGAGCTTAGCCGGATCGCCCAGATTCCGCCAGAGCGCATAGGTGAGCAGCAACGTCTGCATCGAGGGCAAGTAGCGTCCGCGCAGATGGTTGATGCCGATCAGCTTGTACGATACGGCGTGCACCAGCGAGCTCGTGAGCAACGAATAGGCAAATGCATTCTCGGCCTTGGAGCACAATGCACCCAGACACGTCACCGCCGCCAGCAACAGCGGATCGCACGTATCCGGATCAAAGCTCGCGCGGTGCAGGATGGGCAAGATGGCGTCGTGATGCTCAAAGTACAGCTGCACAAAGACGTTCAGTGTGGCCGTTTCGGTGGAACGCAGGGTATCCTGGATGCGACGAAGGTCCTGTGGCTCCACCTCGCAGAAGCGGAACTCGTCGATCATGCGCTCCTTGGCCTGATCCGTCATCGGCGCAACTTGGTAGCTGTTTTCGAGCGCAATCACCTCGTCCGATGCAAAGGGCACTTTCTGAAGGCTCAGATGCCGTCCGCCGTCGGTAGCTTTGGGCCGATAGACCGAAGGCCAGTACTTGTGCCTGCGTTTGCGCCGTTTGCTGGACCGATCCGACGTTGCAGTGTGAGGCGAACGTCCCGAGACCTGCTCATTTTGGTGGTTCCGTTGCGCTAGCTCCTCAGCAACGAGCTCTTGCATCGCCACATCCTCGGGCGAAGGTGCAGCGGGGCTTGCGTTCAGATGGTTTCGCGCCGAAGGATCCGGATGGCGGTAGCTCACCCGTTGCTGTCGCGGTTGCGCAGCAATGTCCCTGTTCGCGCGTTCCATCGGATCCAGGTCGGACGACTCGGACGACGACCCGGGTGAGCGGGGCGGATATGAGCGACGTGGCCCGGCGTGTCCGTCGGCGGCACCATCGCGCGATCTGCGGCGTTTTGAAGCGCCATGCGAGGGGCCATTCTGGCGGTGAGGATGGGTTGCGGCGCGAGCTTCGCCGCGGGTGTTGTCGTCGACCTCTTCCGGACCGCAACTTGAGGAGCTGCTGCTGTCGTCCTCGGAGGGAGACGCCGAGCGCAGCAGACCTCTGTTGACAGCCTCACTGCGGATGCGCGCCAAGGTGGCGGCGGCAGCGTTTGCGTCCATGCTTGCCGGCGAGATCGCACTTGGCTGGCGGTGAGCCTGAGCCACATGCGAGGAATTCTGAGGAGTTCGTGTCCGAAGCGGGGTGCGAGAGTGAGCAGAAGGATGCGAGTGGGAGTGGTCGTTCGCAGGATCGACCGGGAGGGCGGCATCGATCGCAATGGTAGCGTGTGGCGTCGAAGAGGAGGCGGCATGGTGTGCATCGTAGCGCCAACGAGGAAAAGAGGGCTCTGGCTGTTCGAAGTAGCTTCCTATCAGGGGGACACCTGGGTCACCCAGGTAAGCTGCCCAATTGTCGTCCGGAATCTCGTTCTGCAGTAGCCAGTCGACCGGAAGCGGCGACAGCGCCGACGACCAGGCAGCAGCATCTGTCGTCTGGGCCTGCGACTGCCGCCAGGACTCGAGGTCGAGCGAGTCGAGGGGACGAAAGTGGTGTGGGAAGGAGCTGGTGGACAAGCCCGGATCGAAGCTCGACGTGCCGAGTTGCCTTCCATTCGTCGACGGTGGCGCATCGACGAGGTGGTCGACTGCTGCAGCGATGGAATCAAAGTCAACAGCATGCTGCATCGAGCCTGTGGCGTCTTGATGGATGAGCGCTGAAACATGTGCGCTCGGCCCGGCCACATGCGCCGGGGTGGAGTCGCTCTGGCCAGCTTGCTCGGCCGCAGGCTGCATGGCGTTGGCAGGAAGAGTGTACTTGCACAAGATTGCCTTGTCGAGACGAGAGCATCGGCCACACACGGGCAGGGCGCCATCACACCGCACCTTGGCTCTGTTGCAGAGGCTGCATGCTTTTGACACTTTGCGACTGGCTGCAAGCGATCTCACCGACGGCGAAAGATTTCGAGGCTCGTTCGTTGGTGCGCTGGCAATTGTCGAAAGTGTATGGCTGTCGGATGGACGACCCTTGGGTGGAGTTGGGCTGCGCTGCTGTGCGTGGGCGGAGGCGGACAGAGCATCGTCCGAGCTGGACGAACGAGATCGGTGTCGAAGGACGTGCTTTGCGAGCACATCTGCACGGTGGAAGCGGCGCTGACAGATAGAGCAGGCCAGCGAAGGCACTGCATTGTGTGTGGCCAGGTGACGATCGCGATTGACGGCCCTGGAGAAGGTCTTTCCACACTTGGGGCAAGCATTAGCATTCTCGACGTCCTTGCTCGATTCGGCGGTTGCCGCGTGGCTGCCTGAGCGTGTTGGCACAGACATGGAAGACTGGCGGATTCGCGCGTGGGCCACTACGCTTATTGGATTGTGTAGCTTCGACCTCGTGCCATCCTTATCCACTGGCTAGACCGATGGCGGCGAGGATTGCATTCAGAGCGAAGCCGATGATTCCACAGAAGCACGCTTCCTATGCGCGAGGCATTCTTGGTGCCTTGTCCAGAGACTCGGTTGATGACTTGGTGGAAAGCGGCTTGATGATGGTGGGAACGAAGCGCAGGCAATTCTCGCTGGTGGAGGCTTAGCCGCAAGGGTCCACCAGACAGCAGGAAAGTGTTGCTCCTCGCCGTTTGTTGGACAATGGTCGCGTGGGGGAAGCCGTGCGGGGAAGCCTTCAGACGCGGCTCCACCATCGGTCCCGCCAACTCGACACGGCTCCACCACGGCTCCCCGCTCGCTGACAAACAGCAGACGTCGTGCGGAATTTGGGTGTGAATTTCATATTTGGCAGAGCCTCGGTTGAGCCAAAGCAGTCGTGGCTGCTCCACCCGCCACCCGCTATCAAGCCCTTTCGGCCGCGCGATGCTTGGTCGCTTGCCGGAAGACGCGGCGGAGCTCGTTGGGCCCTTGGCCCTTTGGTGCTTGTATGCCTTTCACTCGATGGGCACACGATGTGCGTTGCTAACCGCGCAGGCCTGGTCTACATGTTGGCTCTGCTCCTTTGCTCAGAGTGCAGTCTCGAAGTCATTGAGCATGGTTGACAATTGCAGGAGTGCGGGACAGGCAAGAAAATACAGACGATGCGCAGCGGGGGAAGAGAGAGAAGAGAGAATCGGTGACGAGTTGCAGACCCAGCAGCAGCACTAGTACCTCGCAGTCAGGCGGCGCACCGCAGGACCGAAGAAGTAGAAGGGGATGCCAAACGCAGACACAATGCCAAACAGGATGGCAAGCACATTGAAGGCGCCGCGCGGTCCCGCCTTTTCCAGGAAGTCGACGGTGGAGAGCGAGACGCCAAAGCTCACAATGCCTCGCGAGGCGCAGTAGAGCAGCAGGATGGCGCCCGCACGGTCCGGGTATGCATCGATCGAGTATGTGTACGAGCACAAGATCACGGCCGTAAACGTAAAGTAGACGGCGTTCATCGGGATCGCGATGCCCGTCCAGTGCCATGAGTACGGGTCGGCGAGCGTTCGGCCATAGATGATGCACGAGGCCACCGCCAGTCCCACAGGCATGATGAGCGGGATGAGGCGATGTTCGGGCCGCGTCTTGCCTCCGTTGCGCGCAGCCAGCCTCCTAACCAGCCAGTCGCCGCCCATGCCTTGCAGCGGAACAAAGATGACGGCGGTGATGAGCTGTGCAGCCATGACGTATCCGATGGCGTCGTAGCTGAAGCGGTACGGCGGCGAGCCCAGCGCACCGGCGTATTCGGTCGTCATGACAATGTACGCCGACAGCGCCAACGAGTTCATGAGCATAAGCCAGAACACATTCGGGTACGCCATAACGTGCACCGCCGACCACAGGCAGCGTGCAGCCTCGCCAAAGCGACTCGGGCCCACGTAAACACGCAGCGTCGATGCATACGTGTACTCGCCGTACGTCGCCGTGTCGAGCGACGGCTTGCGCTTGTCCGTGTAGAAGATCGGCACGCGCGAGTCGATGTCCTCCGACGGCACCATCGCCTCGTCACGCTGGTAGCGCGACTCGGGCACAATGAGGATGGCTCCGATCGCAACGACGAGGGAAACGATGGCAACGATGCCGTACCACCATCGCCAACCGAGGTCGGTGGTGATGTGACCGGTGGCGATCATCATGACGGCAAACCCGGTGGTTTGCATGCCCGAAAAGACAGCCATGCGGTTGCCGCGCACGTGAAGGTAGTTGATCTCCTGGACGATCAGAGGGCACAGAGCCTCGGACTGACCGGCGGCGAGCGACATGAACGCGCGAACGATAAAGTGCGAGTCGAATGACTGGCTCAAGCCGCAGCCCAACGAGGTGAAGGCGAGCAGCAGCGACGAGAAGATGAGCACCGGTCGACGACCAATGGCGATGGCAGCGGGGATGCCGACGATGTTGCCAAGACCCATGAACAAGGTCGGGTAGACGAGCAGATCCGGCACGCGCTTGTCGCCGCGATACTCCTTGAACATAAGGCCCGTAAAAGCACCCATGCCGGACGAGACGAGCACACTGAAGATGGAGAAGAAGCCCAAGACGATAAGCACGGCCCACTTTCGCCACTCTGGCATGTTGAGAGGGTCGTGTGGATCGGTGGTCGGCTGCGGGATAAGCACAATCTCGTTGCCCTTGATCAGGGTCGTCTCGACCTGAGCGTCGCTCGACTCTGCACCTGAGCCGACGTTCTTGCCTTGCGAGCCATATTCTATGGAGTCCAGGTCGTGGACATCGTTTGTCACCCCGTCCTCCTTGATGTCCATCTTTTCGTCCGAACGTCCGGGAGCCGACATGTCAGCTTGTAGCGAGGGATTACGGGAGTGGGAAGGTCGAAGGTAGCGGAAGGAAGTGCTTCGAGCTCGAGCTTGACGGAACGAGGTTGTTGTTTGAGAAACAGCCGGGATTATATGCTGCCGGAAAGGGCAGACGAAGCCTTTGGTGCGATTCTCAGGCACGGAAGCGCAGATCCAAGAAGTTGTAGACAGAGGAGGTGCCCAGTACGCCTGATTTGACCAAGGTTAGTGCCCTGCGTGAGAGAAAATGGGTGTTTTTGGAAGTGTTCGTGTGCAAAGGTGGACCGGCTGCATGCTTTGACATGCAAACAGGAAGCCGTGTGTGGGGTATCGCCGACCAGACCGGACAAAGAGTGAAGCAAGTGATGAGGAGCGAAGGATGCGGAGTCCCCAGATCACGACTGCCTCGGTGGTGCTGGGGTATGAGGGGAGGCTAGCACAAGGCTCGATTTTGCGATGCTCCACCCTTTCTGGTGCTATGTACGCTGCTACCCGTAAGCTCGAATCGCGTCGCCACGCCAGCAACATGTGAGGTGCTCACATGTCAGGAACGCGGATAGCGCGGCCTCGGAGTCGGCTGTGGGGCCGGAAAGGCGGCAAGGGTGGAGCCGTGCCTAGGCTTGGTCTGGAAAGACGTGGAGCCGCGCTTGACGGACTGAGTGGTGCATGCGCCAAGAGGTCTGCCTCGACGATAATGCGGGGTGAGGGACGAAGAAGGTGGCTACGGGAGCGACGTGCTCGGAGGAGCAGCCGGTCGTGGCAGGTCTTGAGCGATGCAAACGTGCCTGGGACCAGTGACTCGATGGTGGTTGGTGGAGTAGACCATGCGGTTGAGCATTGCAGCTTGTTTGATTGAACGGGAAGGCTGGAAGAGAAGGCGGTGGACGAAGCCCCAACAGCGTTTGCGGAGACCCCGCCAATTCGGGCGGGTCGGGGATCAGGAGCTTGTGCTGCAGAGTACCGTCCACACGTCGTGTGCCTGACACAAGTCTCTCCGCCTTTTTTGGCACCACGTGGAGCCGCGACCCCAAGCATTACGGGCAAGGCAGATCTTCGACGTGGGCACGGTGGGAGGTGGTGGAGCCGGGCGGCGTGCCATGTGCCGCGGGGCAATTCATTCTGATCCCGAACGGCTCCACCACGGCTCCACCACGGCTCCACAGCCCCATGCTTTCAGCCATGACAACTTCAGCAACCGCACCACGCCGCACTCCCCCACCCGCCCCCACCATCTCCGAAGAAAAGACGGCTCACCTGTTTGGAGCTATCCATAAACTCAGTCTAGACGACACATCACTCGAGGAAAGCTGGGCGATTTGCTTTGCTTTGCGCTCCTTGTCTGGCTTGTGATCACCGTCGGTCACCATAAGCAGATGCTGGACTTGTAAGCCCCTAAACTTCATGCTCAAGACTGGTGGAGGGAAGGTCACGCCGATTTTGAGTCCGAATGACCCGGGTGGAAATTTCGCACATGCGGAACTGGTGCTGCAAAGTCTGTATCTTGCTGGTAGAGACACTAAACAGCGGGGGCAGATCTAAAGGAAGGGCAGGATGATGTGGCTCGGATACTCGCTCGAGACATGAATATTGTGTTTGCCGCGGTTGATGCCCTTTTCGCCGTCCGAGGCAAACTCTTGCAAGCGCACCTTCTGACCGGAGACCTGAACCCGCAGCGACTCGCCTTCTTCGAACTGGATACCCATCGGCCACAGCGAGATGGGCACCTCGACGATGGTTCCGGGTTCAATCTTCTCCTCCTCGTCATGAGGATGGAACGGATAGAGCTCGTGCATGCTTCGGCTCTCGTCAATCTTGCGGTGCGAGGCCTTGAGCATGCCCACTGGGCCGAGATAAACGACCAGATTCGACATCTCGCGCGGCGACATCTCCTTGAACGACTTGATCGGCACCGACGACCATGGCAGGTTGAAGTTGAGCATCTCCTTGCCTGACTTGTCCAGCTTGCGGATGATCACGTAGATCTCCATGTCGTCCATGTCGTCGCACGAAAGATACAGATTGGCTCGCACAAGTCCAGCCAGCGCCTGGTCCTTCTCAAACGTGTAGGTGAATCCTGCAAAGTCGCTCGGGCTCTCTGAGTCGTAGCTCACCACCGAGGACGCCTTTGGAGCCGACGTTGACAGGGTGCCGTTTGACTGCAGGAACATCTTGCGGTACTGGGTATCTGGCAGCGGGTAGTCTGGCACGGCAATGTCCTGGATAGGTTCAACACCCTCGCCGTACTTGAGCAGAGACAGTCGCACCTTGGGAGTGTCTCGCTCCCAGCCGTTATCGATGTTCTTTAGGTATCGGTCGAAGAACTTGGCCAAGTCGTCGATCGACTCGCGGACAGCCCAGAGATCGTACCACTCTTGGTACGCATCCCATCGCAGCCATTTCTGGTCGGTCGGCAGCTCCATGAATCCTCGAACACTGCCGACCGTGTGCACGAGGGCCGAGTAGGAGCTAGTGATATAGGCAGGGATGCGGATCTTGGAAAAGTCGGCGCGCTTGTCCTCCCAGTACGGGTTGGAGAGCGGATTGCGCCTGTGCATCTCGGGAAAGTTCTCCAGGCCGTTGCGGCTTCGGTGCGTGTGCTCCTCGATGAAGCCAAAGAGGCCATAGTCCCAAATGCCTCCGCGCACAAACTGTTCGCGGAACAGATCGGAACAAGCCTCCCACGGAGCGATGCACTTGAGCGACGGAGGGGCCTCGGCAGCGATGAACCACTGGCAGATGGCAAGGTGGCTGTTGCCGGCCAATGCGACGTTCCCGTTGCACCACTCCTTCTTGGCAATCGCTTCGATGACATCGTGGCCGTCCTCTCCCTCCTGCGTTCCCATGATGCAGATGTATCCGTCCGAGTCGCCCGCGCCGCGCGAGTCGGCGTTGACCACCGCGAAACCGCGCGAGCAGTACTCGGCTGGGTCCGGGCCTTCGAATTTCTCGAGACCACTGAGGGTACCTTTCGGTACACCCAGACCGAACGGCATGGGCTTCATCGAGAGAATGCCGTTGTATTTCTTGCCGTAAGGGCTCCAGGCCATGATGGCAGGCACTCGATCTTGTTCTGTCTGGACGTTGTCTGTCGAGGCAGGACGGTAAATGTCGCAGTAGAGCACGCAGCCATCTCGAACCTTGATGCCTACATCGTGCTCAACGATGATGTCGCAAGGAAGCGGGCGGGAATTCTCGTACATCTGCCATCCCTTGGGGAGCCTCTCGACTTTGCCAGGATGGAAGCCGGCATAGCCGTTCTCGCCCACCTTGGGGTGCTTGATTGGCTTGTAGTAGGTCTGAACCGGAGGAGGCATGGCTAGTGACTTTTGCGTTTGGAATCTGGGCGCGCTACAAGTGGAGAACCTGTTCTGGACGATGCGCAAGCTCGCGGCTGGCAAGTGGCGAAATGTTTGGAGAGATGGCGAGAGACAAAGTATGATGGCATCAACGAGCAAGGGCACGGCTTAATCAGTTGGAGGTATGCTGCAACAAGTCAACGGTCGGCGGTCAAAGGCTTATAAGTCGGTTGCTGAGGATTCAAAGCTTTGGGTGTGCCGCCCCAACCGTGCTCTGCATGTTCGAACCGATCGAGTGGAGTCTTGGCTTCTACTCTCTTCGGTTCGGACATCCTAGAAGAAGGGGTGTTGCGGAGGAACGGCTCGCCCTGCTCCACCGCTTTTCGGCTCTCTGGACCCTTTCCGTGGTGGAGAGGGCCGATTCGAGCTTCGACTGCGGGGCTCCTTTCTCCGCGCCCCAACACCGACAACGGCGGCTCCACCGAGATTTCGCCGTCACCTGCTTCTTGCTTGCCGAGGCTTGATTTGGTGGAGCCGTGCTGCTCCACCGAGGGGTCACGCTTCACCGTCGGCCGGCACGCAAAATCAGGGTCCTGCCTGCACAATTCGAAGCACAGCGCAAGGCTCGAAGGCTTGCAGGCCCACAAGGTCGGGCTCGACACGGCGCTCCACCATGCCGCGGCCCTCGCGCAGGCGTCGAAGCAGCCCGAACCACCAGCCTCTCTCGCTGTGTCGCACTTGAGACGGCGTACCTCGGCATCAATGCAGCGGCAGAACAAGTTATAAAACAAGAACCTCTAGCTTTGGTTGGGGAGAGCGAGTCCACATCCATCATTCTTTGGCTTTGTAGTAAGCAGCTACCTTTCAGCCGCAGGCTAATCACGAGAAACATCATGGCTCCCACTGCAACCGCTACGGCCAACATTGTTGTGCCCGAGGCCAAGCCTGTATTCCAGGCGGCCAACCCCAAGGGTCTGGCTGACAATGTCATGAAGCCCACCAAGACCACCTACGGCGACTGGCGCAACGACTTCTTCCGCGATGGCTATGTCGTACTTCCTGGCGTGCTCTCGAGTGAGAAGGCCGAGCACTACCGAAGCAAGCTGCTCGACTGGATCACTGGCTTCAATCTCGGCCTCGACCTGAACGACGAATCGACATGGACGCAGGAGCACCTGCCTCAGAGCTTCAAGTCGATGTTCCTCAACTACTGCGCTCCTCACGAGCGTTTCATGTGGGAGGCTCGCTGCGAGCCTACCGTGATCGAGCCGTTCGCCAAGCTCTACGGTACGGACGAGCTGCTCGTCAGCTTTGACTCGTTCAACATCGGCCTGCCGCGCCGCAAAGACCTTACCTTCAAGCCATGGCCGCACTGTGACCAGAGTGCGGACAGGAAGGGTCTGGCTTGCGTGCAGGGTATCCTGAACCTGTACAACTCGGGACCTCAGGACGGTGGACTGATCGTGATGAAGGGATCGGCGCCGCTGTTTGAAGAGTTCTTCGAGCAGCTGCCCAAGGAGAAGCGCTTCTTCTCGCCGCACGTGCACAGCGACTTTTACGCATTCAACGAGGAGCAGGTCAAGTGGTTCGAGGAGCGCGGCTGCACGCAGTACAAGGTGGAGGCCAAGCCTGGCGACCTGATCTTGTGGGACTCGAGGACGATGCACCACGCCGCCTTCCCGATGGGCAACGAGATCCGCACCGTCATCTACACGTGCTTTGCACCCGCGTCGCAGATTTCGCCCGAGGACCTTGCCAAGAAGCAGGAGCTCTTCAACCGATGGGAGGGCACCACGCACTGGCCGCACTGCAACATGTTCGGCCAGGGCAAGGCCAAGAAAGATGGCAAGCGCGAGTCGGAAGAGATCTGCCCTCACGAGCGAGACGAGCCGATCGAGAAGCCGATCATCACCGAGCAGATTAAGAAGCTTGCCGGTCTGATTCCGTACTGAGCCGGTCCCCTCCCCTGCATCCCTTCGCCCTTGCCCTCAGCCGCAGCCCACTTGTGGCTGGAGCCGTCGTCGTATCATTACCTGTACCGAAGCATCTCATTCCAAATCGATCTGTTCCGTTGTCTTCGAGATTGCTTTCGTGTGGTGGCATACAAAGGATCTGACAAGAGCATCTATCTTGGAATCGTGGATCTGATCGCACTTCAAGCTATGGCGTAGCGTGCCAAGAAGTGTGCAGAGTAGAGCCCATGGCCTTTTCGCCAGGTGGTGATTAGGAGGGTTCTTTCGTGAGCCTTTTTTTCTATCTTTTTGGAACCTTTTTTTCTGGTTCGAATTTTAAAAAAAACGAGTTCTGTCCTTTCGCACCTGCTTCAGGCGCCTCCGAACGATCATTTTATCGGCAATGATCTGGATAAATCGGGCCACCTTGCATGTGTGGAGCGCATCATCGTACTCGGGCCGTCTATTGCTTCTCCTGGTCCAGCCGAAAGCACACAGATCCAAGACTTGTGCAGTCTGCGGCAAACTCAACCACGGTAGCGAAGCCCAAATTTGGAAGCACGCAAGCTGGACGAACGTGCCTGCGCAGAGCGCGTCAGATAGTCGGCTTTCAAACGTGGCCGTCTCGCACGGACGGAGGGAGGGAGGGAAAAGAAGGAGCTGAGCAGAAGGCGTTGCCGGGCGTTGGCAGGTGCGGCACTGTCCCAACCGATTTTGAAAAGACGCGGTCCGCGGTTGCAAAAAGTGGAAAAAGCAGCGGATGGAAGGCGAGCGCATTTTTTGGGCTTTTGGCCGACTGGAGGCATCTGCCGAGCCAATGATAGCGCTCACTCATCCCCCGCCCGCCCGCACGCTAGGCTGTCACGCTCGCACACGCCTCCGCCCACACACACACCCACGCCAGGCCGATTTCACGCTGCGTCGGAAAGTCTGACCTGCCCTCGTCGCTCACACGTTCAACCTCACCACCGTCGCTCTTTGCCATCTGACACCCCGATTGCACACGCACGAGCACAAGATCCTGAGCTCAAACGAGTGATCAGTCGACCGGCATCAGCGGCTCATCAAGATCGAATCACTCACGGCAGCCACCTAGATAGTAGATCTGCAGCCCAGACTCAAGGCCATACTACCGTCCAAGGACACCGAAGGACCGCAACACACACGATGGCAGCGCCCTCCAGAACGCCGCACAGCGGCAGCGGCAGCAGCGTCGCTAGTGCCGCCGCATCAGCGCAAGCACCAGCATCGTCTCTGTCACCTACATCGCCAGTGGGCCAGACCCACCCGCACCACCATCATCATCACCACCATCACCATCACCATCACCACGCTCATCACATCACCGACCCTGCGCGCCGAAAGAAGAAGCACCTCCCAGCCCAGCTCGCCCAGCTGCAGCTCGAGAACGAGGACGAGGATGCCAACAACTTCATCTCGTCATCTCGCGACGCTTCCGAAGAGGACAACGACGATCAAGAGGAGACTTTTGACGACGATGCCTCCATTGCATCTCTCCGCCAGCATCAGCAGGGTGCGAGCACGAGCTCCCTGACCAGCGTTCCCATCTCCTCATCGCTCTCCTCTATCCCGCCCAACGATCGCGATCAAGCTCTGATCGACTCGGCAGCATTGCATCAGCCGTCCAAGCTGCAGCACCAGCTCAAGCCCACCTCTGCTCTCGATGACAAGACACCCGCAAGCACAAGTCCACCTCGCGTCGCCGCCGCCCCAGCAGTCGCTTCCGCGACTGGAATCGCTGGCGCTCCCACCAGGACCGCCCAGCCAAACGTGCAGCACGGCTTCGTTTCCCCCACACAGCAGCAGAACCAGTCGTCGCAGGATCGCAGACGCGAGGCCTCGTCTGATGACGACGACCGATACGTCCGCCCCTCGGTGGGTGCGACGCTGGCGAACGCAAGCGCTGCCCTATCCAGCAGCTCGTCGACGGAGCTCCTCCCCAAGGCGATCGTCGCACAGCGACAGGCGGCTCACCCAGTTGGAGCGGCCTCCGACCGCTCTGCGAAGGGTACCTCGGGAGCCAACCTCAACCTCGGCTCGCTTCCGTCTCCCAACCTTGCAGGCGGCGCTTCCTCGTCTCAGCCGCTGAGCACGGTCAAGCCACAGAGCCAAGCCATCGACCCCATCTCGAGCGCCGCGGCTGCGGTTACGCCAAAGGCGCAGCAGGTGAGCGAGACCAGCGCAGCGCCAGCTTTGGACAATGCTTCGGTTGGACAAGCCGTAACCTCGAGCGGCATCTCACCGGCTGCCAAGCGCAAGACTTCCGCCTCGCATCACGCGTCCACCGCTAGTGCACGTCGCGCAGAGATCCACGATGGTGCTGCTGAAGAGGCTGGCAACAACACGGATGGTGCCACCCCCTACGATGGCGATGTCGAGTATGCTGCTCGCACCCCTGCGTCCGTTCCAGCCGGCACCAGCTCGTCTGGAGGCACAGTTCCAACTCAGCGCGATACCAGCAAGTCCGCGTCCGCAGCGAACCGGGCTCCCGCCAAGAGCACTGCCCCGGGACCTGTCCGTTCGCTCTCGTACATCGAGACTATGAAGAGCAAACACGCCGATTGCCAACCCGAAGGCGACGAGTTCGAGGAGGGCGGCTTCCAGCCCTCATCGATCCCGTCAGCAGAAGAGATCCAGGCCTGGGTCAACCAAGCCATTTTCAAGCCTGACGCCCAGCGCGACTACTCCATCAACCCGCCGCCCAAGCGCTACGATAGCGAGGGGCGCGAACGTCCCATTCGCATCTATGCCGACGGCGTTTACGACCTCTTCCACTACGCCCACGCGCTGCAGCTTCGACAGGCCAAGCTGTCTTTCCCATCGGTGCACCTCATCGTGGGTGTGGTGAGCAGCTTCTCGTGCGGCAAGCACAAGAACAAGCCCGTGCTCACAAGTCAGGAGCGCTATGAGTGCGTGCGCAACTGCCGCTGGGTCGACGAGGTTCTTGAGGACGCACCTTGGGTGGTCGACCAGAAGCTCATCGACACTCTCGAGATCGACTACATCGCCCACGATGACCTGCCTTATTCGGGCATCGGCATGGAGGACATCTATGCTTTCGTCAAGAAGCAGGGCAGGTTCCTGCCTACCAGGAGGACCGACGGTGTGTCGACGTCCGAGCTGCTCGGTCGAATCGTCGAGGTCTATAGGGAGGGCAGCCTCGATGGCAAGCTCACCAAGATCGGGCTCGAGGACCTCACCTCCACACATATTCCCAAGTCAAGATAGGCAAGGCGGCCATCATGTGTGCTCATCTTGCAAAATCAATTCATCCCACTGTGTTCTCCATCCGTGTGATGTGTGCCGTGTGCTTGCGGTGACAGGTCGGGGCGCCAAAAGAGGTCCAAGTGAGGTGCGGCAGACGGCAGAGCCGAGAGATTTTGTGGGTGAGAACCCCGAGTTCCGCCAAATTCCATGTGCGTGTGGAGGTTCTGATGATCAAGCTCTCCTTTCCGCGCTCGTTCGCTATCCACCATCTCTATACGTCTGCATTGGCGATCTTGTGCGAGCCTGACAACCTGGCTCCTGTTTCCTCCAAAGGATGTATGCTCCTACTCGAGGCGGTGCACGCGGTGGTGCGGCCGAATTCAGCTGGGACAAGGTCAAAGAGTCCAAGGACCGCGAGTTCTACCTTGGCAACTCGGTCGCTGCTCCCACCGGTCGATGGCAAGACGGACGCGACATCAACTGGTACAACAAAGACAGCTCCTCTTCCGCATCTGCCGCTGCCGAAGAAAGGCGTGAAGAGCTGCGCCGAATCAAAGAGGCCGAGACAGCGGCGCTCTACGCTAAACTCGGCAAGCCACCTCCTCCCTCAACCACCGACTCTTCCGCCAAGGTTGGTGACAGACTCGCTGTCGGGTCGGCATCAACGTCAGCAAGGAGCGCGACGGGCGCCAACGGCGAACCTCTCGATGCGTCAAGATCCAAATGGGGAGCAGAGGAGGAGATTTCAGAGGCGGACAAGAAACTTGCACGCAAGTTCGCTAGAGACGAGGTAAGGAGACGCCGTGCAGAGGCGGGCGAGGACGCAAGCAGGAGCAAGCGCGATCGCGACAGCCACCACAAGAGCAGCAAACGTCATGCCGAAGACGACGAAGACCGTCGTAGGCGCCATGAGCGGCACCGAGACTCGAAGCGACACCGCGAGCACGGCCGCGATGGCGACGAGTCGAAACGAAGCCGCCGTCGAAGCGGACGAGGTCGCAGTCGGAGCGCGAGTCCGAGCAGAAGAAGCAGATCCAGGTCGCCTGAATCTTTGCGCCGACATCGTCATCATCGCCCTCGCCGAGACCACGACGAAGGCAGTCGTCGTGCTAGAGACTCCACGTCTCCTGAGCGCGAGCACCGCCGGCACCGAGACGATGACTCGCGGCACCATTCATCGTCGCGTCGCGAGCACGATCGCTCGCATCGTCGAAGAGATTGAACCTCGACTCCAACTCGAATGCAATTCAGTGGCGGCCACTTGAGCGCTTTTTCCATCGCAATGTCTTGAGTGCGGTTAATGTGATGTTGCGCCCAGCCGTCGTGTAAATGGGCTGCGGCGTCCAACGCGTCAAAAAAGACGCGCTGTGCGGCGTGATTTTTTTTCCCGCACGAAGAACTCAGCCTCCACACAGTCTCGGGTCGGACAACACCATCAGCCGCCACCGCCATGTCGTGTCATTAGCTTCTCCCCATACACTCGAGATCAGCATCGTCACCGACACTGCCGCCATCGGATCATGTCGACGTTGCGGCACGCTCACCATCATAGACTCGCTGTTAGCCTCATCGCTCGCTGGTAGTGGCTCACCATGACATCGCCAAAGAAGGCTGCACAGCGATACGACGCCATCGCCTCGGGGTCGCCGTCCGCTATAGCCTCGAGCTCTTCTGCAGGCCCGTCTCGAGACGCACAGTCCGCGCCCACATTGCAGGAGTTCGAGCAGGCGTCGTCTTCGCACTCTTTCGGACGTGGCCGCAGCAACCTCATGGACAAGCCGCCTTCGCTTGCCCCGCCAGAGCCAGAGGACCCACCAATCCCTGCACACACCAACCTCGAGACGGCTGCGCATGTATCAGGTCCACCGCCCTGGCCCACAGCCACGTACAGGCACCTACTTTCGGCAGGCACGCTCAACCCAACCAACCCATTACGCGTGATTGCGCACTGCGACGTCGACGCGGCGTACGCGCAGTTCGAAGCGTCGCGCTTAGGTCTCGACGCCACCGTTGTGCCCATCGCCGTGCAGCAATGGCAGGGCCTGATCGCCGTCAACTACCCAGCTCGTGATGCGGGCGTGTCGCGCTTCGAAAGCATTCCGGAAGCGCTGAAAAAGTGCCCGGATCTTCACCTTGTTCACGTCGCCACCTACGCGCACGGGAGCAACAAGGCCGACTACTTTCCGGATCCAAAACCCGAGACGCACAAGGTCAGCCTCGACCCGTACCGCAGGGAGAGCAACAAGATACTAGCCATCTTCAAGAAGACGTGCCCGCGCGGAGCGGTGGAAAAGGCGAGCATCGATGAGTCGTATTTCGACCTTACGGTCGAGGTGCGCAAGCTGATGGTCGAGCGGTTCCCGTGCCTTGCCAATCCGCCACCGGATGACCCGGTGACAGGCGCCAAGGGGATGGACCAGCCACTGCCGCCTCCGCCGCGGCTGGGACTCAAGCAGTGGAAGCAGCTCGGGTACGTGGTGCCCAAGTCGGGCGATGTAGGAAAGGCAACGGGTATTGGCAGGCCAGAGAAGGCGGTCGCCAAGGGCGCTCTGCTCGTCGATGCGCCCATCGGTGCTGGAATCATTTCGGCTCCTCTTCCCCCCGTCTCTACGGAGAAGGAGGAGTCAAAGGACAAGGAAGGACAGGCTGGGTGTTCGTGGGGCTCAGAGCAGGACCGGCTCACCGACCCTACGTCGAGTCAACAGGAGGAGCTCGACGAGGAGGCGGCGCTCTGGGACCGGATCGAGTACGGCGAGACGACATGGACCGACGTTGCACTTGCGCTCGGCGCAGAGCTCCTGAACCGCGTCCGCCAGAATGTGTTGGACGAACTCAATTACACGACGTCCGCGGGCATCGCGTGCAACAAGACGCTCGCCAAGCTGTGCTCGTCGTGGCGCAAGCCGAACGGGCAGACGATCATGCGGCCGTGTTCGGTGGCCAACTTCTACTCGTCGCTGCCCTTCCAGAAGATCCGCTTCCTCGGGGGCAAGCTCGGCAACGCCATGGGGCTCGAGTGGAACTCGGCGACCGTGTCGGACCTGTGGCAGGTCGGGCTCGACGAGATGCAGGCCAAATTTGGCGAAGAGGCGAGGTGGGTGTACAACGTGCTGCGCGGCATCGACTACAGCGAGGTGCGCGAGCGCGTCAATAACCAGACCATGCTAGCCTCCAAGTCGGTGCGCCCAGCCATCACCAAGCCCGAGGAGGCGATGCATTGGCTCAGCATCCTGGCGACCGAGTTGGCCATTCGGCTGAGGGAGGCGAGGGAAGAGAGGACGAATCTGTGGCCCAAGACACTGGTGCTCAGGTACATTCGCGCCGGGTCCGTCCCGCGCAGCCGGCAGACCGCGTTTCCGTTCACAGATCCGCGCAACCAGGACGACTTGGCCAGGGTCATCCTCAAGAAGGGCCAGAAGCTGTGGGAGGAGAGCGTAGGCGATGCGCTTGGGCTCGGGATCGGTGGGCCAAGCTCGGGTGGCGATGCCAAGGTGCTCACCATCGCATTAGGCTTCGGAGCGCTCGCCGAGGGTGAGGTCGGGCAGCGTGGCATCACTGGCTTCCTCGGCGCCGCCAATACTAGCTCAACGTCGAGTTCTAGCGGGAGTGCAAGCGCATCGGTGCCGAGCAAGTCGGCTGCCCCGGATGCTTCGGACGAGCAGGCGTCCCCACGCAAGAAGAAGAAGCTCAATCGGCTGGACCATCTCTTCGAAACACAGAGCAGACAACAGCAGCAACGATCAACCCCGCCACCGGTACCGACGTCTGACGACAAGAGCGAAGGCAAGAACGACAGCACGCAGATCGGGGATCCCGCGGCAGATCCAGCAACAAAGGCCGAGGTCGACGATGCAAGCGCTGGATCAGGCGATGCCGATCGCGAAGACGATCCGCGCTGGGCATGTCCCGAGTGCGCGCACGTCGTGACAGCGCCGCCGGAATCGGCTTGGTTTGAGAAGCCGTATTTGGTCGAAAAGCTCAAGGACGAGCATCTGGACTGGCACTTTGCCGTATCGCTCTCGCAGGCTCCTCAACCATCGGGCTCGACAGCATCGCGGCCATCCGCTGCTCCCAATTTACCCGCCACGCAAAAGAAGAAGCGGGCGCTGGACAAGTTCTTTACGCGTCGTTAGAGCCGCGAGCCGTGTTTTGGGGTCTGCACCCTGCTTTTTCCCACTTGCACCCTCGCGTGGCCGCCTGATTTCCAACTCAGCTGCTTGATTGGGCTCGCGATCCATTCGGTTTCGTGACCACCACCCTCGACGCCCGCGATAGGGTCCCATTAGCAACCCTCGCTCTTTCACGCGTGTACGTCGTCGATCCTCCATACCTTGTTTTGTCTCGCATGCGCTGGGAGGCGAAGCATAGCCGAGTTAGATCATCGATCGACACGCCGCCATCCCCACCTTGCCACCTTTCAGCGCAAGTCACAAGTCAGCGCGGGGATGGCGCCACTCGACCCGCCTCGACTCGTCGCCATACCAGAGAGGCTGTTCCGTGATTCTTGGCAAAAATGTACTCGACACGACTTTGCGATATCTCGCCCCGGTTGGTCTTTTGCCGTGTTCACATCGGTCCCCCCTGAGTGTGGATGTGGAGTTGTTCCGGCGATACCCATGGGCTCGGATGGTCATCGGTCTTCCCCGAGCCACGCGCCACGGGAGGCTCTGCACGATCGGGAAGATGTGATCACGGCGAAGGAAAAAAAGAACGAAGCTTGTGGCGGGCGGATGCTTGGCGGAAGGATGCATTTATCCTCTCGCTGCACGCGTTCTCAGCAAGCCACCGGGAACGATGAGGGCCTTGGCAGCTGACTGCTTGGGCTGCAGCTGGGCGGATCCATTAGTCGATCCGTCTCACAGCGGTGGCCGGCTCTCTCCCTTCTCCCCCTGCTTCGAGGGTCTGCGCTTCCACGTGTGAGCCACGAACGAACCATGCGCGCAGCTGCGTCGGGGCAAAGGCGGGAAAAAAAGGATGAGGAAAAAATCGTATTTTCGCTGTGACACTGCTTTGTTTTTGACAATTTTTATTTTTGAAAGTCAGATCGACAGGATGCAGGTGCGAGGGCGCAGGAACGCCTTTGTGCAGACTGATCTTTCAGCCTTCTTTTTCTTTTTTAATTCTTTTGTGCTCAGAGTTCAGTCACACCTTCCCGTGCCTGATGGATGTGACAGAGTGACAGGCGTGGCCCGCCGTTGCGTGCGCCGCAGTTGCCGCGCAGCCGACAATTCGCCTGCGCCTAGTCCCGATGGGAGCCAGCACTCGACCTTCGACCCTCGCGACCGAGCGTGGACCTCCCGTGCCTGCGCGAGGCTCGGCACCTAATCTGCGCTGCTCTTGCAGCTGGTCGCCATGCAGCCACGCAGCCGGGCTGCGTGTCGCCGGCAGCTCGTGCCTTCCATCTGCGCGTGTTTTTTTTTCGGGGTGGCCATCTTCATGCAAACTCCTTCGTCCTCCCTTCCGCTCTCCGAGGACCTCTCTCGCTGGCAGACCTGCACCGCTACTCTAAGTTGATACTGCGCTGCTGGCCTGCGATCTTTGATGTCCACACCTCTGCCCAGCGAGGGTCCGGATGTATTCTCTCCGTTCCCGTTCGCCCTTGCGCACAATGCACCACTTGCCGACTGCTGGGCTGCGCCGTCCTCGTTTCTTCGTGAAACAACAGCATGCCCCGACATGACTCTTTTCTGTTCTTAATTTTCCCGCTCCGCCTGCGCCTTCGCTCGCACCCTCGTTTTCGAACCGGCCCCTCGACTTTTATCCTTGCCGCATGGTGGACCCCTCCCGGTGGCAGGCGACGATGGTGACAGCGCAGATGCCGTGCGCTGTCCCCAATTCCTGGGCTGTTCTTGTCTCCCCGACTCTTTGTCTGCGCAATCTATGTGAAGAAGCTAGCTTGCTGCGGTGCTGTGAAACTCAGACTTCATTGCCTCCAATCGGATCTGCTCCGATTGCGCAACCACAGCCATACACCTGCGTGCAAGCTCGGTGTCCCCTCAAGCTCTGTTGCCATGTCCCCTATAGCTTTGTGCCGTCCATTGCGAGCATGATGTGCCTGTGCCTGTGCCTGTGCCTGTGCCTGTCGCACCCCGTGCAGATGGTATAAGTACGCCCACCCTGCTCGACAGACCACGGATCCCCGCCCACCAAAGACATCCTCCTCCTCCTATTTCGTCCTTCTATACCAAGATACCACCCGAGCCCCCTCTGCTGGACAGAGCATCCCCTCGGTCCAACGTATACCTAACTCCAGCATGAAGTTCCTCGCACTCCTCCTCTCTTCCCTGCTTGCCCTCGTGGCGATGCTGCCGCTCTCGGCCCAGGCTGCTCAGCGTGGCCTGGCGTGGGGCACCAACGACAACTGGGGTCCCAACGTGGCCAAGGGCCTCATCAAGTGGTACTGGCACTGGCAGGATGGTCCCAACTCGCGCTTCAACGGCATCCTCGAGTTTGTGCCTTGCTACTGGGGTCCCAAGTACAATTCGCAGTGGGCCCAGCGCAAGAACGAGATGAACGCCAACCCTCCCAAGGCGCTGCTCGGCTTCAACGAGCCCGACATCAGTGGCCAGTCCAACCTCGACCCGCAGACCGCGGCCAACCTGTGGATGCAGGAGATCCAGCCGTGGAAGAAGCGCGGCGTCCGTCTCGGAAGCCCGCAGATCGTGTGGAGCCAGGACTGGCTCGCCTCGTTCATGAGCGCCTGCAAGAGCAAGGGTTGCACTGTTGGTAAGTACCTTGCTGCAAAGCAAAACTCCAAACATGCGCACACGCGCGTGCGCAAGCCGTCGATCAGCATCAACGGCGCGATCAAGCTTGAGCTTGAACCAGCCAGGCAAGGTTGTCGAAGAGTATTGCTAGTCTCTCATCGATCGTGGATCAAAATCTGACGCTCTGAGCTTTTGTTCCCTGACAACAGACTTTATCGCCATCCATTGGTACGGCTCGTGGGCGGACCTCGCTGGTCTCCAGAGGTACGTGACGTCGGTGCGCAACCGCTTCGGCCTTCCCATCTGGATCACCGAGTACGGCGTCACCTCTGCGTCCGGCGGAAGCCAGCAGCAGATCAAGCAGTTCCACATCGACGCCACCAACTGGCTCAACTCCCAGTCGTACGTCGAGCGCACCTCCAACTTTGGCAGCTTCCCCTACTCGGGCCCTCCCGACGCGTACGGCTCGCGCCTCAACGCGCTCTTCAACGGCGACGGCAGCCTGCGCGACCTCGCATACTGGTACATCTGGACCGGAAACTCGGCTCGCCGCAGCCTCCGCTCCGAAACCTCGACGGCGGAGGACGACTTTGAGCACACCTCGGAGGAGATCCCCATCCAGGACAAGCCTGCTAGCTTCAACCACTGAGCACGCCGCAAAATCGTACCACTAGGACTCCAGGGACCCCTCAATTGCCTGCCTATGCACACATGGGCAGACACAGAGGCGTCGGTCCCTCGCCTCCAAGACTGGTCGCTGTATTGATAGTTGGGTCTCGCGTCGCATTTTCGTTTCGGTCATCATAGTCATGGGCTTTGCATCGTTGCTTTCTTGCTCTGTCTTTCGCAGCGCTTTTGAAATTCAGCTCGCACGTTTGCTTCTTTGTCGTCGGGAACGCTCCCGCCGTGTGCGACCCTAAGTTTGAATTGATCGTGTGACAGAGCTGTGGAATGATCAGGACCATGACAGCTGTCAGCGGGAAAATGGCCAAACACCGCGGAGGGCGGCCGTGTGATGGTGTTACATCGTTCGCGTGACTGTGGGCTTTTCGGCTAAATTCCCTGCTCGGGGTCTTGACCGGCGCCTTGACACCGCAGGTTCGGCCTGAAAACGCCACGGTCACCGGATCGCTCGGCAACGACGGCACTAAGTTGACTAGCAAGCGGTGCGGGGTCGACGCTTCCCCGCACGCCACCACATCCTGCCACACGTTCACCACCTCCCATACGGCGTGTCATCACCAACTCTGTCCGATAGATGATCGCACCTAGACGCTCGAAAGGCTAGCGAAAAAGAGGCGCGGAGCAAACTCTGGAAAGACGGGTAAACAACCAAATCCCAGCAAACCAGCCTTGCGCTTGGGCGCCGTGGAGCAATACCGAGTGCACCGACTCAGACAATGTCGCTCTCTACAAATGGCGTGCCGGTACCGCCCTTGCCAACAACAACGACATCCGAACGCAAAGATGCCGCAGATGGCCACCCAGAGAATGTGGATCTGTCCACCACGACAAATGTGGGGCTGTCCGACTCGCAATTCACCATCCGAGAGGGCGGATATGGTTGGGTGAATGTGGTTTGCGGTTTCCTGCTCAATGCCGCAACTTGGGGTGTCAACACGACGTTTGGAATCTACTTTTCCTTCTACCTTAGAAACGACTATTTCGAAGGCGCCACGCCGATGCGATATGCCTATGTCGGCGGCCTCTCGGTAGCCAGCTGCATGCTGGTTGCCCCTTTCGTCAACATGCTCTGGCGTTCGTCCGGCTGGTTTAAGACGCCACTGTACCTGGGCATGATCTTCATCTCTCTCGGCCAGGTGGGTGCCGGGTTCTGCAAGACGTACATCCAGCTGCTCTTCACCCAGGGCTTGGTGTTCGGTATCGGGCTCGGGCTTACTATGATCCCCACGCAGCCGCTGCTCAGCCAGTGGTTCCGACGCAAGCTCAGCTACGCGCAGGGTATTGCAGCTGCAGGAAGCGGCATGGGCGGTCTGGTGCTGGCAAACACGACGCGCTACCTGATCCAGGAAAAGTCGCTCAAGTACGCGCTCATCTGCAACGGCATCGTCTCGTTTGTCGTGCTGCTGCCGTGCATTACGCTGATGAAGTCGACCGAATCCCAACCGATGCACTTCATTCCCTCCAGGCTCCGCAAGCAGAAGGTGTCGGAATCGCCTACAGCCCGTATCAAGAAGAATCCGCTCGAGCTAAAGTGGTTCTTCCACCCGGGCTACTCGTTTGTCCTCCTCTTCGGCGTCTTTTCGATGATCGGCTACTTTGTCGCGCTGTACTCGCTGGCAGCCTTTGCATCGTCTGGACTGGGCCTAACGCAGAAACAGGCATCGACGCTGCAGTCGATCCTCGCGGCGGGACAGATGGTGGGCCGACCACTGTGCGGATTCCTGCTGGATCTGATCGGGCGTCATCCGTGCACGATCATGATCCAGATCCTGGCAGGCGTGACTTGCCTCGCGTTCTGGCTGCCTGCGCGCGGATTCGCTCTGCTTGTCGTCTTCGCCATCACCCAGGGTCTGCTGGGCGGAACGGTGTGGAGCAGTGTCGCGCCTATCTCGGCTGAAGTCGTCGGCATCCGCGACTTACCCTCGGCACTGGCCGTGTTCTGGTTCGCGACGGTGCTTCCGGCTCAATTCGGCCAGCCGATCGCCGTGGCACTCATCAACCACTCGCAAAACAGCCTCGGCCGCAGAGGCGCCAACGCCTATCTCATCTCGATCGGCTTCTGCGGCGCGTGCTTCATCGCGAGCGGACTCATGCTCTGCCTGAGCTGGCGATACGTTCGCGCGAGGAACCACAAAGAGCAACTACAGAGTTCGACGCCAGAGTCTCAGCAGGACACGGTCGATTCCACTGCACCCTCGCAGGCCACCGAAAAGGCATGAACCCCATGATACCTGCAATGCATACTTTGTCACGATCGCCACCCCGACTGGCTTTGTCCGCATGATCATGACCGATTGATCGACCCTAATATTATATGAAGAAAAAGAAAAAAGAAAAGAAAAGAGGAAAAAGGAACTGCAGCACCTAGGATTCCCG